ATGCAAGACATGTAAAATCAAAAATTATTTCTGAGGGATTCTTTGATGAACAACTTGAAATCAAACGCGCATTCTGATTGGTTAGTCGTATTTTTGCACATAACCTTCATCGATAGGGGGACGAGTCTTCTTGCAGGTTACGGAAAGGGGCGAGTGGTGACGAATGCGAATTGATACGCGGTTTCTGAAGTTATTTCACTAAGGACATAACCTAATAAACGACCCGTGAACATCTTCAGCATCACATGTTTGTCTTAAAAGGCGACTAACGGGGTCGGGTGGTCAGACTCGCTGACTTGGTTGATGCATGTCATCCTATCCCAATTGCGTAGATCGATGCTCATGATGTCAATCACTAGGTTGTGTGGTCCAGACTCGATTATTTATAGACCGCCGTCATATTGCTGGAATATTGCTTAGTGCGGCGTTAAACAACAAACCAACCTCATAGCCATCGATTAAATTAAGAATGACAGTTATGTGATAAATGATTATTATCTTCCTATGTTTTCGTAACATAAATATCTTCTTCTCGGAAAATATTAGCTCGCCAAAGCCTTGCCCAACAATGTTTATTCCTAATATAAAACACATTGCATTATTGTAGGTAATATACTTGGATTATTGTGAGAACACAACATACCGGCTTTTTTTACATGAATTTTACACAGAATCCTATGTTGTACGCAGAATGCAAGAGCCCACATATCTGTCAAGTTGAGATGCGGCGTAACCCCGATTAGAATTGAAACTGGCAGATATGAAAATGTGCTTGTGGTTTGATAGATGGTGTTTTCGCTGTGTAACCCCTGTGGAAGATGAGGCCCATGTATTGATTCACTGTGTTCTAGAGGTTGATATTTTTCAAATGTGTCACCAAATATTCAACTTTTAATAATCGATCTGAAAATGGAAAAAAAATGTTCATTTATTAATTATCATGTACTAGTTTATATGCTAAATGTCAATGGAAATGTTGTACAGAAGCGAGACGTAAATAAATTACTGTCTGGCTGTCGTCAACTACATGACATGATGACCACCCCAACTCCCTCCCCCCAAACACCCCTCTCCCCACTACCATCCAGCTACTCATCCCCCCTGTAGCTTACATAACATGCAGCTTCACCCACCATGTGGAAATAATGACAAACATTTGCTCTAAATGAATTTCCCTAGAAACCCTTCTGAGCAATTCCAACCACATTGTTTACCCCAGATAACCATTTTGTAGCCAGCCTGCGTCACTTAGGTTATAATTTGCCAACACGAGTCGTTTACTTTGTGGAATTTTATTGTTGGGTTACGCGGCCCGAAACAGGCGCAGTAAGCCGTGCTAATTACATACTATGGTCAGGGATTTTAGCCGGAATGAAAACCTCAGGACGTGGAGCTTGGGTCGCGGCAAGGGCATATTTACCTCCCCTGTTGTTCGCGCATGAGCTAATTTCCCCCTCGCCATTTATTCTCCATTGTTGCAGTGTTTTAGATGTTTCTGTACGTATAAGCCGTTGCCATTGGCGACCAGTAATACTTATTTCATGGGTTGATTAACTTTCTTCAAATATGTACATAATAGATTTGTTTTTGACATATTTACCCTGGCATACCTATAATATAAATACATCAGACGTCAATGGGTACGGGATGGTAGTTTTCTGTATTTTGGGCTGTCGTTTACATTACAAATGAATACAATATTAACAATGAAACTAAAGTTAGCTGTGTTGTACAGGGAATTGTTTAAGGAGTTCACATTAAAATACTCCTTGACAAATTTGTCACACCTTGACAGATTCATTATTTCTTGCTCGTCAACAGATCCATAAAGTATAGCTCTCTAACGGATCCACTATTTGTAACTTATAACAGATCCCTAATTTATTGCTCTCTAACGGATCCACTATTTGTAACTTATAACAGATCCAAAATTTATTGCTCTTCTACGGATCAACTATTTGTAACATATAACAGATCCCTAATTTATCGCTCTCTAATGGATTCACTATTTGTAACTTATAACAGATCCCTAATTTATTGCTCTTCTACGGATCCACTATTTGTAACATATAACAGATCCCTAATTTATCGCTCTCTAATGGATTCACTATTTCTAACTTATAACAGATCCATAATTTATTGCTCTTTCACGGATCCACTATTTGTTACCAGAGACCATATAATAGATATTATATGTTGTTACCCTTCGAAGGATTCTTAATTTATCAACAAAACCAGAAGACAATACTGATGACTACTTTTCGTAGAAATCTTTGATAGGCACTAAAAGTTGGAAGAACTTGAATACTGTTGGATTCACCCGATGAAGGAGCAAGAAGTAGCTCTGAAACGTAGTGACAAAGAATAAAAAAGTTGCTATAAATAAAAAAATGTCATTTATACTTTTCGCAGTGTGCTGTTTTCGGGTTGGCGCTTTGTAAAATGACCATTGCACCACAACACAGAGAGGTTATTCAAAGCATTCTGACACAAGCCACACAAGCAGGGGCCTGACGTGACGGAATATGTATTTGAAAGTGTAATTGCTTGTCAAACGACCTCGGGGCTAACGAGTGAGATTAACTTTTGTTCGCGGCCTGTTCCCGACATATTTGTGATATAATTGTATTGATTCTGGCCATGTGGTCATTAGTCAGGCAGTTCATGGAAAACAGATACAATAACGACCACAATGGGGGGAAATTGTATATTGATGGAGAGGGAAGTTACATAACACTCGCCTGTTGGCACACACAGGGACACAGCTGTCGGCTGTGGGCGGCGTCGGTCGCCTTGGACAACCCCGTTCTGCTTTAACAGGACATGTATAAGACACATTGACTTACCTGAAAAAAAACACAAACAAGACATAGAGTATTCATAAACATGCGAATCCTTGCATTGGTTTTGCTAGACGATGTATGACCATCTACTGTGAGGTTACCCTTATCAAACTCATTCATTCACAAAGGGGCACATATGTGAATTAAAAGGCACAATTTAAATTTGTCAGTCTAACTAGTTTCAAAACTACTTTTGTAAATTTTATGTTCTGTCGCTTGTATTAAATAAAAGAGTGCGTGAATAATAAGTCTTCGTGAAATAAGTACATGAAACAAAGCATATATGTAGTCTGAGGTCCAAGAACTATAGTTCTGGAGCTGATGTTTTACACTGGTTTTAATGACAATATATAGATGTACTTCAAATGAGTATAGAAAATAGTTAGAACTCCACGTGTTCGTATACAAGTCGTAGAATTAGGCCTACCACGAAGAGATCACGTTCGCACTGCCTGTCAAGCAATCCATAAAGACGTACGTTTCTGATGGCGCGACACAAGCCCAAAACAATAGTATTGTAATTGTTATCCATTTATTTCTTGACCCAAGTTACAGTCTTGTTTGATTTCGTTATTGTATCTACTTTGCTGGGTTTTTTTTGGGTTTTTTCTTGTTAGAAAATGTTGAACACTATAATCGGTCGATTTAGAAAGAGGTCCAAGTAGAAAAGAACCGGAATATTTCCATTTGCTATTGTGATGGAAGGCATTGTGTTGGTAGACTTAGTGTACAGTCATCTAGAGGTCAGTCAGCACTATCTATATGCCAGTGATCGGGTCGCTGCCCAATCACCACGTACATGGAATAATTACTTCAACGCTCCCCGCTAATTAGGAATCGGCCGTCAGACCACGTTACAACACTGCTAGTTACGTGGCTTGTTTGGACACGCTGAATCGATCTCCAAGTACTGCGCATATTCGCCATTTTCCTTGACCCCAACCTGATTACATTTGCACCTCTCCCTCTACAGAGTAACTTTTATACGTTGTAGTCAAGCAGAAAAAACATGGCGGTACGCTTACAAGCTGACTCATTGGCGACTGACCATCTTCCCGAGGCAAGTGAGTTAACTGACTATAAAAGTCCAGTTTCCACCCTTGCCGAACTAGGCTGGTATTATGGAGTTACATTTTGGCTGGACTAATGAGTCTATGCATAGTCCAATCAAAATCGCGGACCGAAATCGAAATCCGGTTCGTAAACTGTCGTGCAGATTTCGGTCGATTGCAGGATTTGCAAAACATGAACACCGCCAACTCGTTGTCAGCAGATATGTTCCAAATATTTTCATGTTTTTAATCAAGGTGCTCACGTGATTTGATGCATTTCGCGATGTAAGACCCGTTTTATCAGAATATAGATCTTGATTATCGAGCAGATCGTCCTGACCGGGCGGCACCATTTTGTGTGAAGCAAACGCAACGAGAGGTGGAATCTGATTGGTCCATATGAGAGACTTAGAAGGGACATAACTGGTAATAGCCACTGGTGGCGCTACGACCGAGCACAGTAATTCCAGTCTAGTTCGGCAAGGGTGGAAACTGGACTTTTAAAGTCAGTTAACTCTCTTGACTCGGGAAGATGGCGACTCACAAACACTCACAATCATCGCAACCACGCCGTGTGGCACATACATTACAACCACACAGACTGACATAGCGAATGAACCGTCCTGACTGACACAGCAAGTGCAACCAACCCGACTGACACAGCGAATGCAATCACACCGACTGATACCGAGAGAGCAATATCATCGTGACCACGACTGACATAACGTAGAGATAAATATTGTGAAAGTTTTAAAATTGAAACTGAACTTGGAAGCAATTTTTTTTTAAATAACCGATGGATTGCGTTTAACCCCACTTCTACCCGTGGTTCAGCCCTAGCACGTGGTGGTTTGATATTGTTTGAGAGAGCCGTGTTGCACCGTCAAAACTTCGCCACAACCACTTGTTGACACAAGCCCAGTAATAGGGTAGATAGAATCTGTGGACACTGCGCGCTGAGACTCACTTTTCTGCATCCCTATCTGGGCCTTAAATGACTTGGCCCCCGTATCCCTACATTACGTTAGACATTCGAGACACGTCACTAGAGTAATTTGAATCACACACATTGCATAATATATGATTTACATTTGTTATATTGCAGACTGAACGTGACCGTAGTTGTCTACCCTGACGACCATGACCCATCACCAGCAATATGCGGCAGACAGCGCCACCTGGTTGACAGAGCCGCAACACGATGGCCCTCACTTCATGCCGAAAGTTGTGCAAAGGCGAGCTAAACGTATCATCCCAGATCTGGAAAAGGACGACAAGTATTGGGAGAAACGTAAGCGCAACAACCTCGCCGCTAAGAGATCTCGCGAGAACAAAAGGAAATTAGAAGTTGACATTCGCCATAAGATGAGCTACCTCGAAGAAGACAACGCATTGCTGCGGAAGGAGATTGCGTTGATAAAGGCAAAGTTTGGTATTCCTCCCGATCAAAGTCTCCTAACGCCAGAAGAACGTGCTCAGTGCATGCAGGAGGTGAAAGCGGCACAGGCGGCGGCGGAAGCCAGTAGTCGGGTAGGTTGTGATGACGTCGGCTATCCCGTGTCGTTACTGTCAGTCCCATCATCACCACTCGACGGCGACAGGAAACACGATGACCATTCAGACAGCGACGACCACGAACGAAGCATGTCGGAAGACAACGTACGGTCCGAATCTGCGCATGTGCCGCACGGCTCTTCCGCGTACGGCCCTTACAACCCGTCTCTCACGTGGGGAACGTCGGCGCAACATTTCCAGCACAACAGCTACAACGACAATCAGCGACTTCAAGGACTCAGCAATGGCTACAACGACAAGACCAATAACAACAACTACCAACGTTACACCTCACCGTCAGAAAACCAATTCTCCCGGAATGTATATGATTATTATGCCCATTACACGTCTCAAGGGCAGTCTATGTACTCGACGGTCAATCATCTGCAGGGAGTTACCTCCCCTGCTGACCTCACCATCCGTAATAAACGGCCCGAACAAGACGTGATCATCAGTAACCTTGGAAACAAAAACGGCGGGCCGGAAGCAGCGCAAGCTCCAAACAACATATCCTCAAGCATGACAGGAAACCTCCACATGGACTCGTCTGGTCTCCATGCGCAGTTGTCGCGCAGTCAGGACATGTACTCCCCGAACTTAGCCCCCATTGACCACGACGGCCCGATCCTAGGCAAGGTGGACGCGAACGGCGTCGTCTGCGTCAGTGACAACCTCAGAAGAGAAAACGTGGTACTCAAAGAACGATTGAACAATCTCACCTCGCAAGTTGAAAAAATGAAGAGTATTGTATTGAAAGAGTAAAAGTATTATTGCATTCCTCTTCCCGAGGCAAAGGCGTCAACGAGCCTTTTTATCAAAGTCTTGTTTCCAACCTTGCCACATCAAGCCCACTTTCCTGTGCTTAATATGATTGGACTATCGCACATATCGATCGTCCAATCAGAGAACGCTTCACATAATCAACATCCACGACTGGTATACCTTCGTATGAAAGTGTGGCCGGTCGGGTAGCCTAGTGGTTAAAGCGTTCGCTCGTCACGACGAGGACCCGGGTTCGATTCCCGATATTGCTAAAAGCGGTGAAAAAACAAACTCACTCAGTCGTATGAAAGTGATTTACCGCTGCCTGTCCTTGTTGACACGAATATGACTTTTTCATCTTTTAAACCCATTTTTCATCTTAGTCGCCATTTTTGTGAAGCTATACGAGATAAGAACAGCCATCTGATTGGATATGGCGTATTCATTACAAGGGGCACAACTCGAGCCAAGAAAAGTGGCTTTGATGTGGCAAGGGTAGAAACTAGGCTTTGATATAGGCTAGTGGACACGCATTCCTCGGGAAGATGTATTGCATCACGAAAAGACTCAAGTCCCATATAGTTTAGACAATGATACCTATCGGTGTTTGCTCATCGGGTTTACGGCTCAACCAAAGAATATTGTATCAATAGTTTGTTGTGAGAAGCTGTTTCATTTCTCAAACCAGCTTCATATTTTGTTTTGGCGCAGGCAAGTACGTCCCTGACACGTGCTGTCTGACCAGGTACTAGTAACAGTATAGACGGGAACAGAGGCACCCATAGCCCCGCCGGGGAGTCGAACCGGCGGACAATCGGAACTTATTGGTGTCATCTGCGGGATCCTGTTATACTCGTTTCAAATTCTTCGTATTTCAGAAAATGTTTATTATCATTCCTGTAGAAGGAAGCTATGTGAACACTGCCATTTATGTACTTTCATCGGTCTTATTTTGTTCATGACATCGTTTTACAATATGTACATATCGTGCTTCATCTCTATTTAAGAGCCGGCCTCTATTAAGGGACATGTTTTGGGGGATAAGTTTAAGAATACGGAGGCCATGAAATACGGCCTCTAATTTGGACCGGGTCAGAAAGGAACTGAACTATTCCTGGGTCTTTGTAGAGGAAATACGGTTCCTCTTAAAGTGCTGTATTTATAATGCTCAGCGTCAATCACAGTGCAAGCAATACAATATATGACAGAGAAACATTTTGTTTCAAAGTCGGAAGTCGGGGCAAAATATGTTCATCTACATGTCATTCTTTCACATAAACTACAAAAAAATTAAGGACAACCCGATTCTTTCATATTCATTCTTTCATTATAACAATAATAGTATGAAAGATTCGGGTTCTCCTTAATTATTTTTGAGTACTACACATGTATTGTGAACAGATAGTTTTTATGTTGATCATACCCAACGGACGAGATAAAAAAATTCATCTCAAAAAGTTAGATATGTCCGCGTCGTTAGTCAACAGTGTGACTGTTGTGTTTCGGGTAATGATTTACCTTCAGTTGGAGCGGATTAACAGTATTCTTTAGTGTTATGAACGGACAACGTACCATCTTGCCTCCTTATTTATCTATTTAACTATTTACAATATACAGTTCATTGAGTTATTTACAGGTACTAGTTAAGTGTGTTTTTGTGAGTTCATATCACTACATTATATATTTGTTAGAACCTGCAGAATCTGGTTATTGCATTGTATGTGCTGTTTGTTTATCCTTATCGTGCAAATACAACACTAAACGTATCAACCGGTGTCATTTCTCCATGGCGTCGGACCAGTCTGAGTGAGTGAGTGAGTGAGTGAATGGGCTATCAACATCAAGGGTGGTTCAAAGTTCAATCCCCAGTAACCCTCAAATATACTGATATGAAAGGACCCGTGAAGATCCGGGGTAGTTCAGCAACTCATGCTTGCCGTAAATGGTGACTATGCATGTCGTAAGAGGTCAGGCTCGCTGACTTGGTTGATTCAAGTCATCGATCCCATTTGCGTGGATCGATGCTCATGAAGTCAATCACTGGATTGTCTGGTCCAGACTCGATTATTTACAGACCACCGTCATATAGCTGGAATATTGCTGAGTGCGGCGTATTACAACAAACCAACAAACCAACTGATATGAAAGATGTTTCCTTTCCGGATTCGAACCCGTATCCTCGAACCAGCCTGAAACGTTTGCACACTCACCAACCAAGGGTTAGGGACTGGTCATTTATTATGTAACACCCCTACCCACTCGTATAATAACTGACCAGTCCATTAATGTATTCCCTACTTTGGCGGGGGGCACGGGTGGCCCAGGCGTCTAAGGCGCCGCAATTCACTGTGCAGAGTTGAGTCCCTTGGACACGCCAGAAACCTATGATTGTGGGTTCGAATCCCAGTTCGTCCTGATTATGTTTCTAGGTTTGTCAGCACCATACCCGTGCTTGTGAGTTTCACCGAAGTGGTAAACGTCTAAGACCTGCATCACTTCAGGTTTTCCTCCTATATGAATCTGACACGCCGTGATATAACTGGAATACTGTTAAAAGCGGCGTTAAACCCAACTCACTCACTCACTCCCTACTTTGGCAGCACGACCACAACCAATTGTTTATATGTCTACTCAAGTAGAGTGATACTATACGTTGTGCTCTCCTACCTCTGTGTTCTCTTGATGGGTCGGGGTTCGAATTCCAGAATCGCCCCTTACATGAAATGGTGACCCAGTCTCAATTCCTTGTGCGCCGCCGCAATTCATTGTGCAGAGTTATGTCCCTTTGGCACACCAGAAACTTATGATCGGTTCGAATCCAGGTTCGCCCCGATTGTGGATCAGTTTAACAGCACTATACCCGTCCTTGTGTGTTTCACCAAATCGGTAAACGCCCGAGACCGATCACTTCGGGCTTTCTTCCCACATTTAGCTCATACGCCACGATACCACTGGAATACTGTTCAAAGCGGCGTTCAACTCCACTCACTCACTCACTCTTGGGACTTTTCAGTACAGACCTCATCACTTCTGGGTGTACTCCTACATTAAGCTGTCGACCTGTGAAGATCCGGGTTAGAATAGGTCTTCTGCAACCAATTCTCATGTTTGTCGTAAGAGGCAACTGACGAGATCGCGTGGTCAGGCTCGCCGACTTGATGCATGTCATCGTATCCCAAATACGTAGATCGATGCTCACCATGTCAATCTCTGGATTGTCTGGTCCAGACTCGATTATTTACAAACCGCCGTCATATAGTTGGAATATCGCTGCGTTAAACAACAAGCAAACATAAAGCTGACTCGCCCTGATATAACTAAAAATGGCGTCACTCCTCAATGCAAGTAGATGAGGTGAGGTGAAATTGGGTTTAACGTCGCGTCCAAGATTATTGCACTTATATAGCGACGTGCATGCACGTGTATGTGTGTGTGTGGCTGCTTGTACTAGTCCGGACTGATGCCGATTTATAGTGCTAGCCCACTGAGATACCATGCCGCAGTTTAACATGAATACCCCACTCAGACACAGTATACTGACTCCGAGCCGACCAGTCCTTGTTTTAGCCCCTTAATGCCGAGCGCCAGACAGGGTAACAACAAGTACAATCTTTTAACGTCTTTTTGTATGACGCGGCCCGGGATCGAACCCTGGACCTTCCGCTCTCCGGGCGGACGCTCTACCACAAGACCACGGAGGCGGTCGCAAGTAGATGGGGCGAGATTGTTTGTAACACATCAGGCCAGATGGTAAATAGTATAAGCGCGTTCCAGCAGTTGTGTGCTGAGTAAGGTCGGAGACGATGATTGTGTTGACATGACAACAGAAAATAGGAATATTTGAGTCGGCATGTCCGTATATATTATTACCATCAATGTTATTGTAGGGACAAGAATTGACTAAGTACGAACCATGTTAAAGTGTATATATACTACTCCGTTTTTCATAGGGATCTGTTATCTGTCCATGATACACAATAGTGATTCTTATATGTGTGTATTTAAATAGAATGACCTATCTGGTTATCCCTATCAAAAGTTGTGTGGTATAACAATTCACTAAGGTTAATAACATTAGTCACACTATGATTGATGGATGGATGGATGGATGGATTGATTGATTGATTGACGCCGCACTCAGCAATATTCCAGCTCTATGACGGCGGTCTGTGAATATCGAGTCTGGACCAGACTATCAAGTGATTGACATCATGAGAATCGATCCACGCAATTGGGATCGATGACATGCATCAACCAAGTCAGCGAGCCTGAGCACCCGATTCCGTTAGTCGTCTTTTACGACAAGCATAGTCACCTTTTACGACAAGCATAGTCACCTGCATAGTCACCTTTTACGACAAGCATAGTCGCCTTTTACGACAAGCATAGTCGCCTTTTACGACAAGCATAGTCGCCTTTTACGACAAGCATAGTCACCTTTTACGACAAGCATAGTCGCCTTTTACGACAAGCATAGTCGCCTTTTACGACAAGCATAGTCACCTTTTACGACAAGCATAGTCGCCTTTTACGACGAGCATAGTCGCCTTTTACGACGAGCATAGTCGCCTTTTACGACAAGCATAGTCACCTTTTACGACAAGCATAGTCGCCTTTTACGACAAGCATAGTCACCTTTTACGACAAGCATAGTCACCTTTTACGACAAGCATAGTCACCTTTTACGACAAGCATAGTCACCTTTTACGACAAGCATAGTCGCCTTTTACGACAAGCATAGTCACCTTTTACGACAAGCATAGTCGCCTTTTACGACAAACATAGTCGCCTTTTACGACAAGCATAGTCACCTTTTACGACAAGCATAGTCGCCTTTTACGACAAGCATAGTCACCTTTTACGACAAGCATAGTCACCTTTTATGACAAGCATAGTCGCCTTTTACAAGCATGGTCGCCTGAGTCACACCAAGAAGGTGAAAGAGTAAATGTTGAGAGTCAGTAAAATTTCAGCTATACCACGGTGCCCTGTAAATATTCCGCATCTGGGCTAAACAAACCAATGTTTGATAGTATGAGCATCACCCTACTCCGTCGGGTACGCATTCAGCCAAGTCGCAGAAACTGACCACCAAATTTTAGTCGGCTCTTAAGTCAAACAATGGACTTAGTCTATGAGATCAGACCCTCATTCCTCGCCGTGGTAACACGCGTATACATACGAATGAATCAATTCTCATATTATACAAAGACATATTTTTTTTCCCTGACATAAGCCGACATTTATGCCATGAATATGAAAGGAGGTAAGATGAATATATTAACATTGCTTTACACTATAAAGCGTGTTACATGACTACAATCCGAACAGACGCGTAACGCATGTATGCAACAACAGCAGACCGTTATATAACACCTAAGTTATTCTCAAATGTGAAAGGTTTAAAGTTTTCAGGAGGATATATCGCCAACAACGTCCCTCATCAGCACACCTGCATCTAGAAGTCACATCGACGGAAGATTTCAGTAGTCTGCTACACTTAAATTTACTGAGCAGAGTCGTCTTTTAGGCGTGCCAGAACCCGCTTGTTGTGGGTTCGAATCCCAGATTGTCGTTGGTATGAACTAATGACTCTAGGATTGTCGGCACCTATAACTTTTTTGGCTTATCATACTTAATATCAATACATATAAAAGTTCGAATCCTCAAAATACAATTTCTCTGTACTTTTTACTATCCTCTATTCCTAACACTAAAGAGAGTGAGAGTGAGTTTGGTTTTACGCCGCTTTTAGCAATATTCCAGCAATATCACGGCGGGGGACACCAGAAATGGGCTTCACACATTGTACCCATGTCGGGATTCGAACCCGGGTCTTCAGCGTGACAAGCGAACGCTTTAACCACTGGGCTACCCGACCGCCCCACTAATACTAAAAGAAAGTTATGATTGGTTTACCTAAATTCATTCTCGGCTCTATCTTTTGACAAAATTCAGCAATCTTAACCGTTCCATATTCGATCTGCAAATGTGAACGACTGTGTATGGATGGATGCATGCATACATACATATTCGCGATTCGCCATTCACGCAAAAGGCCCGGGTTCGATTCCCCTCATGGGTATAATTTTGAAGCCCATCTCTGATGTGATATGAGTAAAACCATAATCACTCACCCGATAACAAGGGTTTACTACTGCAGTAAACTACGTTTATAACGAACACGCTTATAACAAACTTACCGATATAACGAACTTATTTCTTAGCCCCGGCAATTTGTAGCATATATGCTGTATATATGCTTATAACGCACAACGGTTATAACGATCTAAAATTAGTGGTCCCGTTGAGTTCGTTATAACCGTAGTTTACTGTATATGGAATAGAGAATATTTTGTAGTGTTGTGATTTTGTTTTGTGACAGAACATGTGTCATTTTTCAGTGTTATAACAATGAATTTCTCTAAAAGGAGAAGCAAATAATAGCAATACCCACAACACGTAGCTCCTACCCACCAATATCAAATGGTCGGCCTGTAACAGCTCTCTGTCAAACACGTTTGCTAATAATAAAATTCTAAATACACCTATTAACGAACGCCTAATTGCATCTTCCCTTGGCAAAGGAGTCAACTGGCTATAAAAGTCCAGTTCCCATCCTTGCCGAACTACGCGGGAATTTTTGGGCTCGATTGTAGCGCCACCAGTGGCTATTACGAGTTATGTCCCTGCTCTGTCCCTCCTATTGGCCAATCAGATATATCACTTGCATTTGATTCAAACAAAATGGCGGGTCCAGTTAAGACAATCTGAACTATAATCAAAATCTATATTGTAATTAAAAGAGTCTTACTTCGCGAAGTTCATCAAATCACGTGAGCACCTTGATAAAAAACAGGAAACGATATGGAAAATATCTGTTGACGCCGAGTTGGCGGTACACATGATTTGCAAATCCTGCAATCGACTGAAATCTGCACGGCAGTTAACGAACCGGATGTCGATTTCGTTACACGATTTTGATTGGACTATGTCATGTTGTTGTTTATTCAGCAAGGCTACGTGGGCCATCGGACCATATCACAGCAGTTGTACAGCATCCATTATTATAATTAAACTTTACATCAGTAGTTTTGTCCTTAATTGCATAGACTTATAAATATACATAGCCAAATTTCTAATGATATGACATTTATCACTTGACATCAAGACATTGAATTTATGTAATGTAGGAAATACATAGTAGTTTCTTGGAATGTACTGTTCACGCAATTCGGCATTCACCGTGCACACAAACAAGAAATGATACTCACCCTCAACGAAACCTTTTTTTACAAACATTGCAAAACCTTTCATTTCTTGGAACATTTGCATATCTGCCGGTCTCAATTTTTAGTTGGTGAGAACTACATCTAAACTTTGCTAAAGCTACACGAATCTTATAGATAGAAATATACTTAATATAATACTCTTGACACACAATAGATTTTTACATAGAGTATTTGAATGTTATTGCACCATGTGACAAGGTTGCTTGCAGTTTTGCTGATAAATACATTTTGCTCTTACCATAAATTCTGATGAAAATGATTGAACACTACCAATGCTTTAATTATCCCAAACATTGCCAAATTCCATTTTAAATAATACATTTCTTAACTTTGAAGCCCAATTGCTTTTACCATGACTCATATCTAACAATATCATATCATAGCATTTCTTTGGTCTGGCATGGATAATAATTTATACCAATATGTTATACACCCCTTGTAGGCATAAATACATACAGGGTATCTCCCACATTCACCACGTACAACATGATTTGGAGTTAGACTTCACGCCAAGAAAATATTTGCATGCCGGGACATGAACGCTTACAATCTGAGTCAATTTCTAGTCCCCATATTTCGGCACCATGCAATAAAATTGATATCACTTTACTATCTAAAACTTTGAAGAAAACATCATACGGCAAGGGTCTAAGTTCCGACAGATATTTCACGATACAAAATAATGCCTTTCTAGATTGCAACGAAGAATTCGTAAAGTGCTTATTCCAGGTTAACTTACTAGAAAATATTATACTAAATACTTATAAGATGAAAGACATTCAATGCGATCGCCCACAAAATACCATTTATCACGCCTAGAAAGGATACCATCGTTATTAAAAACCACAATTTTAGTTTTATCTAGATTTACGTTTAGGTCATGTTGATGACAATACTGTTGTAACACGTTATTTCCTTTTTGTAAACCTCCAGTTGTGTCTGATAAAAGAACGACGTCATCCGCAAACAAAGGTAAGAATAAATGAGTCAAGTCTGGATGCAACTGGATGCCAGAATAGCATGATTTTTCTACTTCAGCAACAAGATCATTAATAAACAAGGAAAACAACAAGGAACTTAAGACACATCCCTGACGAACTCCCACCCTACAGTCAAACATATCTGAAACTAACGTATTAAATTTACCGCACGATTTTACACTTTCATAAATAGACTTGATACAACCCAACATTTTTGGCGAGACTCCCTTGTGTTGTAGAACTGACCATAATTTAGAACAATTAACTAAATCGAAGGCCTTAGCAAAATCCACAAATATAACATATAATTTGGCTTTTTATTTCCCCATGAGACGACCAGCAACAGACCAATCCGATCTCGAACCGCCGGGTTATACTCTGAAAAACTAGTTCACCAAGAACGCCCCATATGTATGACCCCGTGTGTTCTGGATTCCCCGGAATGTCATATAAAGGCCATTATAAGCCCAAAAAATATATAACACTATTAATTTGTCGCATACTTACAAACAAATAAAGCGACATGTATTTTGTTTCCAACGCGGCATACAAATATAAATGCACGGTTATTTAGCCACAACACGTGTGTTGTATCTGAACAAGAAGTGTATGTATTCGTACTCGCAAGAACAAAAACGTAAATGCAAACATGAATATTTTTACAACCATAAATACGATTGTGCTTCTGATATACATTGCAGCGCATCTTCCCGAGGCAAGTGAGTTAACTGACTATAAAAGTCAGTGGAAACTGTACTTTTAAAGTCAGTTAACTCTCTTGCCTCGGGAAGAAGATTGCAGTGAGGATTTCATTTCTATGAACTAAGCAAAATATAGACATTTTACAGGCGACTCCTCTGATTTGAACATTGAGGGCGACGTCGTAAGCTTTTAAGGTGAGGTGAGGTGAAATTGGGTTTAACGTCGCGTCCAAGATTATTGCACTTATATAGCGACGTGCATGCACGTGTATGTGTGTGTGTGGCTGCTTGTACTAGTCCGGACTGATGCCGATTTATAGTGCTAGCTCACTGAGATACCATGCCGCAGTTTAACATGAATACCCCGCTCAGACACAGTATACTGACTCCGAGCCGACCAGTCCTTGTTTTAGCCCCTTAATGCCGAGCGCCAGACAGGGTAACAACAAGTACAATCTTTAACGTCTTTTTGTATGACGCGGCCCGGGATCGAACCCTGGACCTTCCGCTCTCCGGGCGGACGCTCTACCACTAGACCACGGAGGCGGTCGTAAGCTTTTAAGAGGCGAGTAGCGGGATCGGATTGTCAGGCTCGCTTACTCGGTTGATGCATGTCATCGTGTCCAAACTGCGACGATGAATGCTCATGTTATCAATCACTTTGTTGTCTGGTCCAGACTCGATTATTTTCAGACCGGCTGGAATATTGCTGAGTGCGGCGTTAAACAACAAACAAACATTGAGGACATTCAGAATATTTTAATTGCGATCAATATTCAAGTTAATACACAATTAGAATGTTCTAGTATACTCTTTTTGTTATGGGTCCTAAAGACATCAACCGAATAATGAGAATGAGATTTTCGGCTCAGTGAACAGTGTTATCGAAACTCCTTGCACAGCTATTACTACCAACGCTGCGGGGAGATTGTATTTATCATCCAATACGCGAGCACAATTTCCAGATTATGCGGAACTTGTAAAATGGCGCTCCCCATGTGACATGTGTGTGAATCAAAACAACGTGATTTTTGCTAAACTACTGCGTTTTAATCGCTATTTTGCTACTTTTCAAGATGTTGACACCATCCTTTGAGTTATTTCAAGATGATATATTTCTAACTATTGTCATCAAGGCTCCATTTACAAAGGTACTTTTGCGTCGAACATAATGTGCATCAAATCCTGAATTTACCTAACAATAAGAGGTTATGACAATTTAAAGGACTGGTAATTCATGAGAGCGATAGGGGTGGTGTGTGTTGTTGTTGTTGTTGTTGTTGTTGTTTGGGGATGGGGGTGGTGTGTTGTTGTTTGCTGGTGTTGACATTAGGGGGGGAAATGATAATGCGAAGGAATCGGAGGAGGGATAACAGTTGTTGGTTATTGCTCAAATTAAAAAAAATGTAGATTTCAACATTATTTAGGGACATGTCATATTGGGGGTTGAAAAATATTACATGTATTTGTGGGGCTATGAACAAAATGTTACATAAAATGGAGGGGGTGGGGGCAGCAAAATAGGATACTGCCGCTGACAGTATCTGGGTACCATCGAAATGTACCTTGGGTACAAATCGATATATTAAATTGTACCCAGACTTCGTTTAAATTGTATCCATATCTATTTGTACCTAGATTTCCGAAATGTCGTAAACTCATACACGTCCGGTTCAATGAGAAATACTGCCATTGCTCTAGTGTATTCCATATGCAAATGAAAACGAATGACTATTCTTTGTCATTGGATTTATTTTGAATAAAATGTAGAAAAAACATGATTTGATTTTATTCCCTTTTTCCAGTAACAAACACAAGTGCAGGTGAAACTGGTACTAGAATGTTATGTTGAGTGTTGGGTTAGGAAGCTAGCTAGGAAGTTTTCAAACTCATCACTGCCTACGTTGATAAATATGGCATCTTCTTGGCCCTGGGGTTCCTCATGGTTAAATTAATTTCGGCATGCTCAGCGGCTGACGATACAGTTGGAAAACAAGCATGACTGCAAATTATCTCCCCTTCCTGCCGTTAAGCATAATTATGCCATAAAAGTCTCTCGCCACGAAACGAGAAAAACAACAACATGGGTACAAATAGATATGGACAGGGTACAAAACAACATGGTTACCGAAGTCTGGGTACAATGTAATATATCAATTTTTTTTACCCTAGGTACATTTCGATTGTACCCAGATCGAGAGTGACCCTATAGGTGATACTGCCCTAAGACCAACCCCCTGGCCTTGACCATGCAGTTTTGCTGGGTTCAGCTTGTTGCATTAGTTTTCTATGGCTTTCGCATCACTGATCTCGCATGCTTTGTCAATCCATCGGGTTAGTTGTGTCAGGATTAGTGTAGGTTTCCCTCAACGCTATCCTTGACCTGTGGACAAACTTTCTGATCAAGTACTATTTATGATGGTATCCTCCAAAAACTTCGACAGAATTAAACTACATACATGTGTAGTACATGTTACAGTGCTCATATGCTGTATGCCAGATACCCTCAACTCTGAATGGTTTACTCCAACAATTACATGACACAGTTGCTGAACATATAAGGTTTAATATTTATGAAGTTCAGATTTGGTGCCTTCCATAGCAATCCTGTATGCAGACTCTCTGTAGACCCATGAAGATCCGGGTTAGAATAGGTCAGCAACCCATGCTTGTCGTAAAAGGCGACTATGCTTATCATAAGAAGCGACTAACAGGATCGGGTGGTCAGGCTCGCTGACTTGGTTGATGCATGTCATGGTATCCCAATTGCATGGATGGTCTGGTCCAGACTCAATTATTTACAGACTGCCATCATATAGCTGGAATATTGCTGAATGCGGCGTTAAACAACAAACACACGAAAAATAAAACAGACGTTCCGTATAGTCGTTTTCTGCTGAGTAGAGTTGCACTAAATTCTGTCTCTATCGGGTTACCTATCTCATCTCTTTTAACAAATTAGTCCTGTGTAATCTTTGAATTTACCTTTGTATCTATTTGACACATATTTATAATCACCTTTCAGTGATGGGCAAATTGGTTAGTGATGACTGAAACATGTAACCATCACAGGCTCATTAACAAGTTCGTAAATCTCTTCTATCATGTTTATCATGCTGGCCATTTTGACATCCTGTACTTGATGTATTACGATGCATCAAGTACTACTGTATTACTGTTGAACTGGGGCGTCACAACAACATCCCACATAATGAACGTGTCTGCACTTTCTGTTTTTCGAAGGGACATAACCATGTTGAAGATGAATTCCATGTTCTTATGATTTGTGACCAGTATTCTAGAGCAAGAAGAGACTCTCTTCTCAAGCGTCTCGTTACCACTCCCTCTATTGAGAAGTTTATAAGACTTATGTCAGCTGAAAACGAACAAATTATAAAAAGCTTAGGTAAATTTCTCTTCCAAGTCATGAACATTCGAACGGAAACATAGTGGTAAATCATTATTATACAGTATATTTCCATTGTATTATGGGCCGGTGGCCTGAAGTACCGAATAAATTTGTCTGTCTGTCTGTATTACGATGCACTGTCATTGTGACTGACTGACTCATCCAAAGATGCCCTTATTTGCCTACATTTGTTGTAAACAAACTACAACAGATGTTCAAGTTGAGCATACATACGCTCACGTCACCTCTTTTTGAGGAAGTATTTTATTCCGGCGTACATCTAGATGTTGTATGGTTGTCAGTGTAAATATGAAGTCACATGTCCCACTTTAAATAAAATTGTGTATAGATCAAGGCCTATATCCTTCGAGGTAAAAATATAGTAATTATGAAAATTGACTTTCACTGTGTGTAAGTTCATCACTGTGAGTATGAACCTTCATAGAGTGAGGGCCAATCTCTATGAACATCGGAGCTTCTTAAATAAACTGTGGTACATTTTCATTGTTGGTATGAAAATACATAAATCCATGTGGACCCCTGTTTTCTTTTACAGGTGTCGGAGACCGAGATATTCATTGAAGACAGTGACTTCAAGTTCTACTCAAAGCCATATTTTCTGAGGTTAGTAAATACCATAGGAAGCTCAGTTTCCCTTCCTTATCATAATAATAATAATAATAATAGGCCTATTTATATTGCACTATATCCACACCACAGGGGCATGCTCAAAGTGCACACTATTATTACCCCGGTCAATGGATCAGTGTGCACTCAACCATCATTCTCAGCTCCCTAGGGAGTATACAACCCAAGCTGCTAGAAAGCTAACAACCACATTGCCATCTCATCCTACTGAGGGGACACAGGTGGCCCATTCGTCTAAGGCGCCGCAGAGTTGCGTCCCTTGGACACGCCAGAAACCAATGATTGTGGGTTCGAATCCCGGTTCGCCCCGATTATGTTTCTAGGTTTGTCAGCACCATACCCGTGCTTCTGGGTTTCACCGAAGTGGTAAACGTCTGAGACCTGCATCACTTTGGGCTCTCCTCCTGCATTAAGCTGGCATGCCGTGATATAACTAGACTACTGTTAAAAGCAGCGTTAAACCCAACTCACTCACTCACTCATCCTACCGAGTACCCATGCACTGCTGTGTGAACAGAGTCACAATTGGAACAGTCACTTGCCCCGAGGAGACACCACATGTGTTACATGTGCTTCAGTGTGGGGCAGGACCAAAGCCCCAGAAACTCTCAGGAGCCAACACAGTCACCCATCCAAGGACTCTCTGCAACCAACGTTGCTTTAACTTTACCTGATTTGTGACCTGCACGCTGTGCACAGGACCACATGCCACCACGTCCTGAATACAATGGATCAACACTGTAGCAAGGACAGACACACAGACAGACCCACAAGCTTGTTCAGAATTATAGGCCCAAAGTATGACAGATAATACCATTTGATGATCATCGAGAGGTTTTAACAATTATCTATGATTCTCTAAAAGAGTATTGCGTGTGAATCTTGAACCTGGTGAGCACACTTTACATGTGGTGCATGATAATGGGTGGAGATGTATTGGTGCCTACTTTCTGTGTGATGTGGACCCTCACAGTAAAGGATTCATGAAACATCTAAGTGAACCCATGTGAGGCCTTGGGGTTAGAATTGGTCCCTAGCAACCTATGCTTGTGAGAGGTGACTTAATGGGTTGGGTGGTCAGTCTCAGTGACTTGGTTGATTGTTGGTGTGGACGGAGTTAGAAATTGGCACTAGTCCTGTAGTCCTTGCCAAAATGCCCAATAGTTAAGGTACCATAAGGACTAGTAGAAATTTGCCATTTTTAAGGTCTTTGCTATATGTTATCATTATAAGGACTAGTGGGCTAAAACTGTTAGTTTCTACCACTGTGGATCATTGCACATAATCATGATAATATCAATCATTGCATTATCTGGTCAGAGTGAGTGAGTGAGTGAGTATGGTTTTACGCCGCTTTTAGCAATATTCCAGCAATATCACGGCGGGGGACACCAGAAATGGGCTTCACACATTGTACCCATGTCGGGAATGGAACCCGGGTCTTCAGCGTGACGAGCGAACGCTTTAACCACTAGGCTACCCGACCGCCCTATCTGGTCAGAGAGGATTATGGCTACAATATTGCCAAGTGTCTCGTTACGCATCAAACAAAACCAGATCTGTAGTGGCTTGGTTAATACAAGTGTTAGACAGAGCACAAACACTCATGCTTCTAGTCCGTATGTGTGTTCTCTTGCAGACTGAATCTCCCTGGCAACATTAGAGAAGATGGTAGAGAGTCGGCCAACTATGATGCTGATAAAGGTGAGTGTCAGGGAATTAGTCGGATGTGATTCATGACTGGTGTTTGATGACATGCTTGATGAGATGTACTTTATGATGGCATGTGCTGTGATGACATACTTGATGAGATGTACTTTATGATGGCATGTGCTGTGATGACATGCTTGATGAGATGTACTTTATGATGGCATGTGCTGTGATGACATGCTTGATGAGATGTACTTTATGATGGCATGTGCTGTGATGACATACTTGATGAGATGTACTTTATGATGGCATGTGCTGTGATGACATACTTGATGAGATGTACTTTATGATGGCATGTGCTGTGATGACATGCTTGATGATGACATTTACTTAATGATAAGCATCATAACATGAATTGATGGGTATTTGATTATATCATGCCGGATGATAACAAGCATTTGATGATAACATTCCAGATGAAAGCAAGTATTTGATGATGACATGCTTGATGATAACCTGCTGGATGATAACAAGTATTTGATGATAACATTCCTAATGATAGCAAGTATTTGATGATAACATTCCAGATGATAGCAAGTATTTGATGATAACCTGCTGGATGATAACAAGTATTTGATGATAACATTCCTAATGATAGCAAGTATTTGATGATAACATTCCAGATGATAGCAAGTATTTGATGATGACATGCTGGATGATAACCTGCCGGATGATAACAAGAATTTGATGATGACCAGTCTCATTAAAATCAGATCTTAGTTTTCGCTGCAACTAAACAAAGATCTGAGGACATCCCATTACGGGTCACGTCAGAAGGACCTTTCACAGACTTTGACCGACCACTGATATGACTAACAAGAAGTCGACATCAGCCAATTAGAAAGCAGCTTTCTCGAGCTTTACGGCACACTTTTCAACCTGGGGACTTTCCAACCATTTAAGACTACGCTTGAAAAATATGTTGACACAGTTCTTGATTAAAATTTTGAAAACTGAACAAGTGAACATTCCGGAATGTCTTATATATTGTTGCGATTGTATGGCAGTGCTTTCCACGTCCTGTGCAACGCCTCCTCTGTTCAAATGTTTATCCCATGGACAGGAGGGGTACGATAATTTTGAAGGAATCGGTCGTACAGGCTGTAACTGTCATTCGGAATACCCTGTATTAACCTTTTCGAGGTTGCATGATTAGAAAACACATTCCGACTGTCACTTTCATAATCTGGTAAGCAACGCTTTAATTGGTCGGATGTAAGGTCGTTCTGACGTGACACGTAATGGGATGTCCTTAGCCAGAACTAAGATCTGGTTTTAATGAGATTGGATGATGACAAATATTTGGTTCTCAGGCCATACATATTATATTCATATTGTGAAAACTGGCTGCTAAGTGTTCTAATGGGAAATGTCTGCTACATCTGCTATATAAGTGTGTTGGTCATAATTTCACCTCACCCACATCATTCAGTATGAAGTGTGTGGATGTGCCTACTTGTTATGGAATGGTCACACTCAATACAGGATAATGAATAAATTTCATGATGCTTCTCGATTATTTACAGACCGCCGTCATATAGCTGGAATAATGCTGAGTGCGGCTTAAAACAACAAACAAACAAACTTTATCCTAAAGTAAATAGATAACAAGTCTTGAAGCTAATCTATATGGCAAAAAGAGCACACTTTTTGGTCAAGCTTCAGTTGATTTTCGCCAAAGACCCAAAGTGGTTAACATGTTTGCTCGTGGAGCCAAAGGCCTGGGTTCGAGTCCGCACATTGGTACAATGGATGAAGCCCATTTCTGGTGTCCCCAACCATGATATTGCTGGGATATGCTAACAGCAGTGTAAGACCTACTCACTCACCCTACCCAACCAGAGTTAATCAGTGTTTCCTCCCGCCAGGTACCTTCACCATCCGAGCACCCAAGCAGACTCCAGGACAGGTGTTTGAGGGCCTGGACATGCTCACCAAGCTGTTGGCCCCTCGGGGAGACGGATCAGCTAAACAGCCCACCATTGAAGTCATGGGTACGCTCAGACTAGCTTCACATCATCATCATCTTAATCATGTTCCCAAGGCAAGAGAGTTAACTGACTAGAAAGTCCAGTTTCCACCCTTGCCGAACTAGGCTGGAATTACTGGGCTCGATCGTAGCGCCACCAGTGGCTATTACCAGTTATGTCCCTTATAAGCCTCTCCTATGGACCAATCAGATTCCACCTCTTGTATCACTCGTGTTTGCTTCACACAAAATGGTGGTGCCCAGTCAAAACGATCTGATCGATAATCAAGATCTATATTGTGATAAAACGGGTTCTACCAGCCTAGTTCGGCAAGGGTGGAAACTGGACTTTTATAGTCAGATAACTCTTAATCATCATCATCGTTTGTGTTCATATGATACTAATTAACAAGCGTAAATAATAACAATGCTTGGAAACTGTAATATTGTTCAATGGACATCTGAATAAGGATGACATACTAATAAAGTAAAATGAAATTTTATCGTGATGGAATTTTTGGATGTGAAAAGTGCCGAACACATCAAGAAGATTGGTCTGGTATCATCAGCAGTCCAAATTCTAATTATTCTCATCAGAACCTTCTGGTTAAGAGTTTGGCCTTTCTCGCCAAATACCTTGATTCGTTTCTCCACAGGTCACGATGTGTGAAACCATTTTTCGACTTCCTGTCCCATGCTTTTACCATGGTTATGTGGGAACAGAGTAAATCAACACTCACACACATGTGCATTTTGGTAAAGCTATTTTAACAAAAAAATACAAGAAATACATGACTAGACATTGAAATATGATGCAGTGTGTTGTGTGTGTCTACATGGAATGAGGACTGCCCCCGTGGTGTAGTGGATAGAGTGTCTGCCCGGAGAGCAGAAGGTAAGTGGTTCGAACCCCTGGCAGCAACCTACCAAAAGACGTTAAAAGATGGTACTTGTTGTTTCCCTACTCGGCATTAAGGGGCTAAAACAAGGACTGGTCGGCTCGGAGTCAGTATACTGTGTCGAATGGCATCCATGTTGAACTGCAGCATGGTATCTCAGTGGGCTAGCACTATAAAACCGGCATCAGTCCGGACTAGTACAAGCAGCCACACACATGCATACACATCACTAAAATATGCAATGATTTTGAAGGTGATATTAAACCCCATCTCCCCTCACCTTCAGGGGAGGAGTCCATGCTGCCAAGTGATGCCCTTGATGAGGAGGAGGACATTGACTGGTCGGTGGAGCAGACGCCATTCATTGAGACATCAGTGCTGACAGATGGACACAAGTACGGCTTTGGCTGCCTGAGATCTGGGGTCTTCAAGAGACTGCAGGTAGGCTTCAACGTCAACAGTTGTGTTGATCATTACTTTCTGTGTTGACAGCTGGGTATTTTGCCAGTAGTTATCTTGGTTATAATGCTCCATGTGAGATACCATGAAATACTGTCTAACTACAAATATAAACAATGAAGTAATTAGTTTCATGGTGTATTGCTTTCTAAAAAATGTTATCTGAATATACTGCAATATGATCAGTGTTAGCTGAGGTTGTCTTGTCAACATGATCAATTTTGCAGTTTAGATTGATTTTAGATTTTCAGGTCTCACCTCATGCATAATGTAATGTATTTTTGAAATTTTATTAAACAAATTTGTTTATAGCAATGTATAACAATTGAAATATATATGCCATTTGTTTCAAACCCAACAGCATGCACAGTGCAGATGCAATAGTCAAGACTGAAATGAATATGTTATAGCTCGTCATTGTTTCATACCAGCTTTATAGAGAAAGCTATGTATGGTATTACCGGTACTCAGACTTTTGTGTACAAGATGTAATTACATTTGGCACAGGTGTCGTCAGTAGTGAGGTTCAACACATAAATTCCATTTTTGAAGTTTTGACCTTGATTTGACCTTTGCATGTTGACCATTCTCCCAAATTAATTTCCTGTAAATATCATCTCTTCCAAAACCACAAGACAATAAAACCGAAACGTCACATACTTGTTCCTGCCAATGATAACTCAATTTCTTCAAGAGGTTTGAATATGAATTATAATAACTGGCATTGCAGTCATGTTAAAAAATCTGTTTATGACAAATTTATGAAATTTGGTAGTTGTTTTTTTGTGTGTGTGGATTTAACATACGTTCTGTCTCTTGTGCAAATGTTGAAATTTTGACCTTGTTTCTGACCATGTTGTAAACTTCCTCAAACTGTGTGACTGAAGGAGCTGTACTTTGCCAAGTCTGTTTCTCCTTATGATGACAATCATGACAACATATTTTGTTGAATAATTAGTATTAGTTTAGTATTTATGCAGAAAATATTTGCATATCAACACTAAGTGTCCGTCTGTCTTGACATTTTAGACAGTTGACTACCAGGTGAGTTCAGTGCCAGGACACTATTTTCTATATCAGTCTAACCAAGATTTGTACATGAAGGATGATTTATCCATGTGTTCCAGTCGGAGCTGTGTGAGGTCGTTGACGTGAGAGACCCGGACTCCGTGGCTCCAGGACAGAGGCGGTCACAGAGGAAGGATGAGGAAGCCCACAAGTTTGATGATGACCACTACCTGTGAGCATCTTTGGTTTTCTCGTTAGGGGCTTTGGGGAAGAGCAAGGCCCCCTCATTGGTTTGTATGAGAAATGGCAACCAAGTGGGCATTGTTGGGAACAGATGGTTGACTTGGTTGATAGTGTGTCATCAACCCCACGGCCTGGATTGTTGCTCACAATATTAATCACTGGATTGTCTGGTCCATCGATTATTTACAGGCTGCCCTCATGTAGCTGCAGTATTGCTGAGTGCTGAAGCTAAACATGAACTAATTTCACTTTCTCCACCTTATAGAACCATGCATGTAGTATTTTACTAGTCTCCATTCTTGTCGTAAAAGGCGGCTATGCTTGTCGTAAGAGCCGACTAATGGGATTGGATGGTCAGACTCCCTGACTTTGTATCCTAATTGCATGGATCGATGCTCATGATGTCAGTCTCTAGATTGTCTGGTCCAGACTCAATTATTTACAGACCGCCGTCATATAACTGGAATATTGCTAAGTGCAGCATGAAACAACAAACAAACAATCAATACTGGTCTCATGATAAAGAAGCCCGAAGGACCGTGATCAAAAGATTGGTAAATAGAAAATACCAGAAGAAATATTGACCTTGACCTCTGACCCATTCACTCACTCCTGTACCCTGAGATAGATTTGATTTTTATGTGAATGTTATGGATTGTGCGGGATGTAACTGATGTGTTGACAGAGCGGACCTCTACCAGGATGACATCGTGCAGCATCTGCTGTCATTCAGACCACCGTGGGATGCTGCATGGAATCAGCTCTCCAAGGGCGGGAAGAGGAGGGATTTAGGTAGGGCTGGATGCTATACACTTATAACACGCACACGACATCACCATGACAACTTAGTCAATCTACCAACCCAGGTCAATATTTATCAGGACAAACTCATGGTGTTTCTGATTACATGTTCAAATATTGTAGGTAGGTATGTGTGTGGGTTTTTGGGTGCATTCTTCAATCTCATTAAAATCAGATCTTAGTTCTCTCTACCGCTAAACAAAGATCTGAGGACATCACATTACGGGTCACGTCAGACCGACCTGTCATGAACTTTGACCGACCAAGGGAATGACTGACAAGAAGTCGACATTAGCCAATCAGAAGGCCGCTTTCTCATGCTTTTCGATACAAATTTCAAATTGGCGACTACGCTTCGAAACATATTTTGACAAATTCTCGATTAAAAAGTTCAAACCTGAACAAAAGAACATTCTGGAATGGCTAATAGATGATCTAAATTGTATGGATTTAGTCGTTAAGCCCGTAACTATTGTTCGGAATGCCCCCTGTTAAATTTTTCGGGGTTGCATGATTAGAAATCACATTCCGACTGTCACTTTCATGATCTGGTAGGGGCGGTCGGGTAGCCTAGTGGTTAAAGCTATCGCTCGTCACGCTGAAGACCCGGGTTCGATTCCCGACATGGGTACAATGTGTGAAGCCCATTTCTGGTGTCCCCCGCCGTGATATTGCTGGAATATTGCTAAAAGCGGCGTAAAACCATACTCACTCACACTCACTCATGATCTGGTAAGCCACGCTCTGATTGGTCGGATGAAAGGTCATTCTGACATGACCCGTAATGGGATGTCCTCAGATATTTGTTTAGCAGTAGCAAGAACTAAGATCTGATTTTAATGAGATTGTCAATTCTTAAAAAAATCTACCACTTAAAGAATTAGGGTCAGCTCCTTAATTTATGATGACGATTTGGATTATTTTTGACGATTATTGGCGTTTTGGAAGCTCATGGAGTTCACTAAAGTAAAATCCTCAGCCAGGCCAGTCTCACATTGTCAAGTCAAACATGCTTTCGCTTTATTTATCTTCTTAACCTGAAGCAAGTTGTCGCAAATGAAACTATACCCTTGTATATTTGAAGTGACCTTGACAGAGGAAGAGAAGGAGAAGATGAGGAAGCTACCCAACAAAGAATGTATCCTTCTTGTGGGGTGATGGGCTAGCCAAGACATTAAAGCGTTCAGTCGTTATGCCAAAGACCTGTGTTCAATGGTACCCATGTATGAAGCCCATTTCTGGTTTCCCACGCTGTGACATTGCTGGAATATTGTTAAATGTGGCACAAAACCATATCCACTCACTAAGCGGAGTGTGCAGATTATTTCAACCAGTTCTTCTGGGTGGGGGTGCCCTGGTGGCTCAGTCATGTTTGGTGCCACCATTCACACTGCAGAGTCATACTTTTGGGTATACGTTGTGATGCAGCTGTTAAGCATGCCAGACGCCTTTGGTCATGTCCAAGTGAGTGAGTGAGTTGGGTTTATCGCTGCTTTTAACAGTATTCCAGTTATATCGCAGCTTGTCAGCTTAATGTGGGAGGAAAGCCCGAAGTGGTGCAGGTCTCAGACATTTACCGCCTCGGTGAAACCCACGAGCCCATGAGCCCACGATACCCACGGGTATGGTGCTGACAAACCTAGAAACATAATCGGGGCAAACCAGGATTCAAACCCACAACCATAGGTTTCTGGCATGCTGAAGGGACGCAACTCTGCACAGCGAATCACGGTGCCTTAGATGACAGGGCCACCTGTGCCCCCATTTATGTCCAAGATTCGCTCTGATTTCTAGTCTGTCAGATAACTCAGCCCGGTATCACCACATCAAGCTAACACATGTGTTATAACTGAAATACTGTTAAGGCAAACTCACACATAGACTCAGCTGTTTACCTATACTCTGTAACACTGCTGGTCATTAGAGTAGACTGATTTAGGCCTTCAGGTGTGTCGCTGGTTTACCTGGTCCAAACTTGATGATTCCTTGATATAGCTGGCATCCACTCACTCTTCTCCACAGCATCAACAATATTTATAATAGGAAGGAGTGGTGGTTATGGCTAGGGGGGAAATGATACATCAGTGCACCAGTGCATCTCAAGTTTTCATCTGACAATACGGTACATGATACATTTTTTTTCTGTATCAATACAAGACGATACATTTACTGAAATAAGTTACCTACTACTCAATGATTTACACCCAACCCAGAGCTTTTGTCAGTCAAATATTGCAAAATGTTTTCAACTTCACTGCGAATAATAACCGCTACGGACAGGTGTATATAGCTAGCTTTTCCTTTTGAACCTATAGCCAAGAAATTTCCATGTGATTTAATGTAAATATGGGTATCGCAATACATATCATATCGTATCGTGACCTCGGTATCATGATAGATATCGTATCGTGGCCTTGCTCTATCGTTTCACTCCTAGTTATAGCTCATGGGTTATCGGGGGCAAGAGAAAATCAAAAGGTCACATATGCCTATGAGACGGTCACACGTGAACTGAGGACGGTGTCAATGCTGGTCCACTAGAAGTGGACAAACACCTCATCATGACGTAACTTACGTATCAGCCAATTATTAAATGTTTAATTTCCTCAGCCTTGTAAGGTTTTATCATTCTTCGATGCTTCTGGTGTTGTGTTTTTGGCATAACATGACAGGTTTATTTCACAATTGTTTTTGATAACATCAGTACCATCTTTTGTGCTGTTTCCTTGACGATGGGAGATTTGATTGACAGCAGCCTGCTTCCATCGGTGTACCTAGGCCTGGTTGATATTATCTTCTGCTACATGTACAGTTACCGCGTCACGGAAGGGGAACACAATGTAAGTGGGTCCTGTAGGTCGGGTGAGCAGTACAACAGGAATGGGATCTGTAGGTCGGTTGAGCAGTACAACAGGAATGGGTTCTGTAGGTCGGGTGTACAGTACAACAGGAATGGGTCCTGTAGGTCGGGTGAGCAGTACAACAGGAATGGGTCCTGTAGGTCGGGTGATCAGTACAACAGGAATGGGATCTGTAGGTCGGGTGATCAGTACAACAGGAATGGGTCCTGTAGGTCGGTTGAGCAGTACAACAGGAATGGGTTCTGTAGGTCGGGTGATCAGTACAACAGGAATGGGTCCTGTAGGTCGGTTGAGCAGTACAACAGGAATGGGTTCTGTAGGTCGGGTGATCAGTACAACAGGAATGGGTCCTGTAGGTCGGGTGATCAGTACAACAGGAATGGGATCTGTAGGTCGGGTGATCAGTACAACAGGAATGGGTCCTGTAGGTCGGGTGATCAGTACAACAGGAATGGGTTCTGTAGGTCGGGTGATCAGTACAACAGGAATGGGTCCTGTAGGTCGGGTGATCAGTACAACAGGAATGGGATCTGTAGGTCGGGTGATCAGTACAACAGGAATGGGTCCTGTAGGTCGGGTGATCAGTACAACAGGAATGGGTTCTGTAGGTCGGGTGATCAGTACAACAGGAATGGGTCCTGTAGGTCGGGTGATCAGTACAACAGGAATGGGATCTGTAGGTCGGGTGATCAGTACAACAGTAATGGGTCCTGTAGGTCACCTGAGCAGTACAACAGGAATGGGATCTGTAGGTCGGGTGTACAGTACAACAGGAATGGGATCTGTAGGTCGGGTGTACAGTACAACAGGAATGGGATCTGTAGGTCGGGTGAGCAGTACAACAGGAATGGGATCTGTAGGTCGGGTGTACAGTACAACAGGAATGGGATCTGTAGGTCGGGTGTACAGTACAACAGGAATGGGATCTGTAGGTCGGGTGTACAGTACAACAGGAATGGGATCTGTAGGTCGGGTGATCAGTACAACAGGAATGGGTCCTGTAGGTCGGTTGAGCAGTACAACAGGAATGGGTCCTGTAGGTCGGTTGAGCAGTACAACAGGAATGGGTTCTGTAGGTCGGTTGAGCAGTACAACAGGAATGGGTTCTGTAGGTCGGGTGATCAGTACAACAGGAATGGCTCCTGTAGATCGGGTGATCAGTACAACAGGAATGGCTCCTGTAGATCGGGTGATCAGTACAACAGGAATGGGTCCTGTAGGTCGGGTGAGCAGTACAACAGGAATGGGATCTGTGGGTCGGGTGTACAGTACAACAGTAATGGGTTCAGTATGTCATGGTATATCTAATTTGAAATTAAAATTTAAGCAATTTTGTGAGAATTTGAGAAAGTCTTGTTTGAATGACATGATTGTAACTTACTAAGATTTCAAATTGTTCCAAAGCTCTTCGTTAGACTAAATGTTTTCATTTTGACTTTCCTTATCCTAGATTTGATTACATGCTTGTTTAGCCTTGTGACTGAGCATGTACATTTGACTGTAATGTTGGACACTTGCCCGTGTTGTAGGTGGAGTCAGGTTGGACAATCTCTAAGCTGAGTGCCACCCTCTCCTGGCTGGAGGTAGGTCTACAACACTGTGTAACAGTTGTCATTCAAGTAGGACAGCGGAAATTCCACAACTCATTGATACTGCAGTATAACTTTGAATGATATCAAATACTCTGACGTGTATGATATTTGAATGATGAATAACCTTTGAAAATATATTCATATATATTACCTTATCCTGACTCATACTAATTGCTTATCTCAACTCATGCGCAGCTCTTAACTAAAAGTTACTCTCAGAGCAAATGTGACTACACTCCTAAGTGTAGCTGTTAGCTAAATGTTACTCTCAGAGTAAATGTAACTGCACTCCTAAGTGTAGCTGTTAGCTAAATGTTACTCTCAGAGTAAATGTAACTACACTCCTAAGTGTAGCTGTTAGCTAAATGTTACTCTCAGAGTAAATGTAACTACACTCCTAAGTGTAGCTGTTAGCTAAATGTTACTCTCAGAGTAAATGTAACTACACTCCTAAGTGTAGCTGTTAGCTAAATGTTACTCTCAGAGTAAATGTAACTACACTCCTAAGTGTAGCTGTTAGCTAAATGTTACTCTCAGAGTAAATGGAAAACTCCACTCCTGAGTGCAGCTCTTAGCTAAACGTTACTCCCAGAGTTACATGGAACTCATCCAAGTGTAGCTCTTAGCTAACAAAATATTTTAAGAATGTCTATAACTACAGCCCCAGGGTGTTGCTGCAATCAGATTGATCCTCACTCACTCACTCACTCACGCAGCCTGCCTGCCTTCCTTGTAGACGTTCTCCAGCCTGCAGGAGATGCTGGTCACCTGCTACAGAAGGTGCTTGTGCTTCCCCCTGCATCGCCACTGGAGCTTGCTGGAAGCTGTGACGGAGGACACCTGTAGGGTGCTGGCACTAGGTATGTCTGGATGGGGGCGTGTGTAGGGTGCTGGCACTAGGTATGTCTGGGTGGGGGCGTGTGTAGGGTGCTGGCACTAGGTATGTCTGGGTGGGGACGTGTGTAGGGTGCTGGCACTAGGTATGTCTGGGTGGGGACGTGTGTAGGGTGCTGGCACTAGGTATGTCTGGGTGGGGGCGTGTGTAGGGTGCTGGCACTAGGTATGTCTGGGTGGGGACGTGTGTAGGGTGCTGGCACTAGGTATGTCTGGGTGGGGACGTGTGTAGGGTGCTGGCACTAGGTATGTCTGGGTGGGGGCGTGTGTAGGGTGCTGGCACTAGGTATGTCTGGGTGGGGGCGTGTGTAGGGTGCTGGCACTAGGTATGTCTGGGTGGGGGCGTGTGTAGGGTGCTGGCACTAGGTATGTCTGGGTGGGGGCGTGTGTAGGGTGCTGGCACTAGGTATGTCTGGGTGGGGGCGTGTGTAGGGTGCTGGCACTAGGTATGTCTGGGTGGGGGCGTGTGTAGGGTGCTGGCACTAGGTATGTCTGGATGGGGGCGTGTGTAGGGTGCTGGCACTAGGTATGTCTGGATGGGGGCGTGTGTAGGGTGCTGGCACTAGGTATGTCTGGGTGGGGACGTATGTAGGGTGCTGGCACTAGGTATGTCTGGGTGGGGACGTGTGTAGGGTGCTGGCATTAGGTATGTCTGGGTGGGGGCGTGTGTAGGGTGCTGGCACTAGGTATGTCTGGGTGGGGGCGTGTGTAGGGTGCTGGCATTAGGTATGTCTGGATGGGGACGTGTGTAGGGTGCTGGCACTAGGTATGTCTGGATGGGGACGTGTGTAGGGTGCTGTCATTTGGTAAGTCTGGATGAAGACGTGTGTAGGGTGCTGTCATTAGGTATGTCTGGGTGGGGGCGTGTGTAGGGTGCTGCTGGCACGAGGTATGTTCTTGGGGTGGGTGTGTGTGTGTTAGGTGTTTGTATAACTTCGCCAAGATGGGCTATGGTTGTATATATTTCTGGAAGAGGTACACATATCACACTTGTCTGTTTTATCAGATTACCCTTCATTGTAGGTCGCAGGCAGGTTCTGAAGTGTCTGTTGGACATACAGACAATCTTGACGGACACAGACCAACGATACATTCTGAATGATCTCTACATCAATGACTACTGTGTTTGGATCCAGGGCGTCAGGTACGGAGGAAACTGTCAACTCAGTAGATAACATTTTAGCATCTTAACTCACTGGAGTGTCCATCACGGAAAAGTGGAGTCCTGGTTACATTTTTGTTGCGTTGTTCGGTCAGTTTATATGATTCCCATCTATTATTTAATGTGTTTGTTTGTATGATTGTCATATTTGCGTTTATCTAATTGTGAGTTTCTATTTCTGTTGAAGGAACGAGAAACTGGACAGTCTGGCAGCAGCATTGAGAAAGGTAGAGTACTCATGTTGTCAGAGTCCAGCCATAGCTGGAGGGGACATTAACAGTGGGCTTCACACATCACACCGCGATGAAATGAAACCCGGCGAGATTCAGGGGTAGTATTCGTCCCTGTATCCCATGCTGGTCGTAAGAGATGGCTTATGTGGGCCAGGGGATCAGGCTGTGTGACAGTGAGTGTCCATTATGCTCCAGTATCTTGTTGCTCATGTTTTTCCATCACTGGTATGCCTTGACCAGATTCAATTGTTTACAAGCCACTGTCACACAGCTTTTGTTTGTTTGTTTGTTTGTTGTTTAACGCCACACTCAGCAATATTCCAGCTATATGATGGCGGTCTGTAAATAATTGAGTCTGGACCAGACAATCCGATGATTGATAGTATGAGCATCGGTACATGCAACTGGGGTACAATGACATGCATCAACCAAGTCAGCAAACCTGACCCCCAATTCCGATTAGTCACCTATCACGACAAGCATATTCGCCTTTCACGGCAAGCATGGGTTGCTGAAGACCTATTCTACCCCGGATCTTCACAGGTCTGTCACACAGCTGGTGTTGTACTGATTGTAGTGCTCAGAAACATTAACACACTTACTTTTGATGGAGATCCACAAGATCAATTTGTTTGGGGTTTATTTGAGCTCTATTGAAGCTATGTGTATTTCAGAAAGCGATTGTAGTGCTATGATTGTCCTGCTTGAACACAGAAATAAAGACCAACCACTAAGATAGTTTTGTGAATCAGGACACAGAGATCTTTCTCTCCAAGAGAATAAACTCACTTGGATTTCGGATCACATTATAGGCCCCTGACCCCTATAGTGATCGTAAGAAGCAACCAACTGTATCTTGCCGAGTTCATTAATTGTGTGTCCTCGTACCGCGATGGCGCTGATCATTGCTCACTATAGTGATCACTACCTTGCCTGAACCAAACTCGATTACTGTACAAGCCGCCGTCACATAGCTGGAATTCTGATGAATGCGGCGTTCCACCCAAAAAAACACAAACAAACTAAGAGAATGAATTTTGTTTCAGATAAACATTCGTAAAAGCGATGTTGATTTGTCTCTCGAGGAGCTTGAGGCTGCAGCTCAGGCAACAATGGAGGAACAGGAAGGAGTTGTGAGGAAGCTGGAGAAACTATCATTGAAGGCCACTTCAGACACAGATAGTGACGACAGCTCAGAGGAGGAGGAGGAAACGGATAGTGAGGAGGATAGTGAGGACACAGATAGCAGTGATCACTCCACAGATGATCATAACACTAACACTCTTGAAAAGGAAAAGAGAACACATTGTGATGACATCAACACACAAACTGATGACTCAGTCACACCAACTGATGACACTGTCCAACAAGCTGATGACACGAACACACAAACAGATGACACGAACACACAAACTGATGACTCAGTCACACCAACTGATGACACTGTCCAACAAGCTGATGACACGAACACACAAACAGATGACACGAACACACAAACTGATGACTCAGTCACACCAACTGATGACACAGTCCAACAAACTGATGACACTGTCCAACAAGCTGATGACACAAATACACAAACAGATGACACGAACACACAAACAGATGACACGAACACATAAACTGATGACATGGATACACAAACTGACAACATGGTTCATGCACAAATGTCACCGAGAACCTCAAAAGGCTTCAACTGTAGCTGAGAAAACTGTATCAGTGTGAGGATGAAGTAAAGACAGAAGGAATATTTGTCGAAGGAATCACAGTTGTTTACTGATGTAAAATACATTTACAGACACTGGTGCTCTTCATGTTGTTTTTTCAAGTTCAAAGACTTTGCTATTGCTATTGAATATGTTGAATTACATGCAAATGATCTCACTGCTCATCAGGGGGCACGGGGGCCCAGTCGTCTAAGGTGAAGTGATTCACTGTGCAGAGTTGCATAACTTGGGCACGCCAGAAACTTATGATTGTTGGTTCGAATCCCGGTTTGCCCCGATTATGTTTCTAGGTGTGTCAGCACCATGCTCGTGTGTGTGTGTGTGTGTGTGTGTGTTTTTTCTTGGGGGCACAGCTGTAGGAGAGCAGTTCCCATACTGCTGATAGATAGGAACTTTTCATATAGATTGTTTTTGGAAAGATGGTCCTTGAAACTAATACTCACTGCCTTTTCAATAACTTTAGATAGAAACAAGAATTGACACAGGTCTAATGCTGAGCTGAACGTATAATGGCTTCAGCTTCCATGTCCATGAAAGTCACCAGATTAGTTCGCATCACCCTGTACACAGGCTCATCATACTAACGGAATCAGTCAACCCGTGAAGATCCGGGGTAGAATAGGTCTTCAGCAACCCATGCTTGCCGTAAGAGGCGACTACGCTTGTCGTAAGAGGCGACTAACGGGATCGGGTGGTCAGGCTTGCTGACTTGGTTGATGCATGTCATCAATCCCAATTGTGTGGATCAATGTTCATGATGTCAATCACTGGATTGTCTGGTCCAGACTCGATTATTTACAGACCGCCGTCGTTGGAATATTGCTGAGTGCAGCGTTAAACAACAAAAAACAAAATGTCAGACAGACCATGGTGATTTGTTTTAAATTTTAGCAATGAAAAATATATTGAAGAAGTTGGCAAGGTAAGTCCTCTTACTGTATTATTTACATCTCTGTAATTACAAACACTTTGGAGTTGAAAATTTGTGTGAATGATCTGTAATGTCTGTAAAATGTGCTCGCTGAACCAAAATAAGGTTGAAGTGTCATAAAACTATTCCTTCATATATCAGGTGAGCTACAAAGCCTTGTGGTTCCATTTCTGCTTTTTGAATCTCCATACACATACCAACAAGTGGTGACCCATGAAGATCAAGGGTAGAATAGGTCTTCAGCAACCCATGCTTGCCATAAAAGGCAACTATGCTTGTCGTAAGAGGCGACTAACGGGATCGGGTGGTCAGACTCGCAGACTTGGTTGATGCCTGTCATTAATCCCAATTGCGTGGATCGATGTTCATGATGTCAATCACTGGATTGTCTTGTCCAGACTCACTTGTGTACAGACCGCCCCCATTTAGCTGGAATATTGCTGAGTGCTGTGTTAAACAACAAACCAACCAACCAAGAATTGGTAATGAAATAAAGACACAATAACAGTATAATAATTTTTATTTCCAACATATACCACTGTACAGAATAATAGATTATTTACATAAACAATCTGTTTGACCCCCTCCCAGGCCCTGCTCGGTGGTCACTGAGGACCAATAGAATGGCATTTGTAAACAGAGGAATATAACGATCACACTCAAGTGGAGATACAAGGAGAGGAGGAACAATAAGATCAACCACAGCCTTCATGATGTCAAAACCAAGGTTTTGGACTATTTTAGCATCTTCACATTTTCAATAGAATATTTCATCAGAATCTGATTCTGAATATACAATCATCAAAGACTGGGTACACAAGACATTCCTTATTCCAAATCATTGTTCAATATTGCATACAAGATCTTATACACATTGGACATTTAGCAAACATTGTTTTGGTCATCAATTAATTTACAGAAACCCTATTTCACAAAAGTTGATCATATCTATATATTAAATCATTAATTGGTTAATCAATTTTACCATTGATGATCCCCCACCTTACCCTAACCAGTACAATGGCATAAAAACACAGGTCGACTGGTTATCCTAACCAAGCCGACTCATCCAGAGATGTGTACTGCAGCTGTTTACAGATCATGATTGGACATGGCGAATCTAGTCTAAAATCCTATTCCTTGAAGTTAGTTGGAGTATAATGTAAGCAAGCCCTATCTGGTTACAAATGTTTCTGTATACATAATGTGGATAGTCCACTCGTGAGCAGTTTGTAAAAGTTAAAATTGGAATTGCAGAAAGATGCAGAAAGACGCATAAAAGATCTACCATGTAACGGTGAAGCCTGTATGACAAGTGGATTCGTTTGGTGGTTTCTTAAATGACAAAATCATCTGTTGCTTTTGTCTTACTTGGCATGGAGAGAGTGAGTGAGTGAGTGAGTGAGTGAACATATGTCAGCATACCATGTACCACACTTCGTTGACATGACATGTATATATATATGCTGTACCTAAAGAAGGAACTAAAAACAACAAAAAACATACTTCAGCATTACTTTCTGCAATGGTACATCTATATCACTACCACATTTACATGACAAACGACAAACTAGTGGTTGATAGCATGACAACTGATAAGCCACACCACCAGCCAGGTAACCGTCACAACCACTGTTGATGGAAAGGAAGTACACGGCTCTCCGTTGTTTTCAACAATTGTGTTACAAGCCTCTTCAGAAAGTGATTGGGAAAAATAACTACTCAAGGAAAACATACACCAGAAGCAAATGTTTCAGCATTTAACATGTTTTTAATAAACTTGGTTATAATAAAATCAGTTCTCATTTTTTCATATCATTTTACTGTAATTTGACGGTGTAGTGACCCAACTTGCCATACAGGAAAACCATCATGAAAATATATTTGACCCGATCTGTGTCCGACAAACTATTTCCTCTCGCCGAAGAGTCTGAGCAGGTGCAGGAAGAGGTTGATGATGTCCAGGTAGAGGTTGACGGCGGCCACGATGTATTCCTCTGCCGACAGCTTGTGCATCAAGAGATGGGTGTCGAATATGATGAAGAGAGAGAAGAGGAGGGCTCCGCCGACAGCAATTGCCTTGTCCATCATCACGGATGGGAACAGGATCTACACAAGCATATCACTACACTGTTAGAACACAATCTTCATGCTTTGGATACTTCCAACAAGCACTTAGATATTGTTAAAACTCAAGTTGGACACACTGACATGGAACCTCTGTATAAACAAGGCCTTCTGCTAATCATTTGGTTCACAGAATTCACCTTGTTCAGTCAGTGGTAAAAAAAAGACATGGCTACTCCCCACTCACACCCTCCCCTTTTCTGACAACTTACATGTTAACTGTGCCCTCGTCATACCGATTTGTGACCTGGTATCTTGTGCACCCCCCATTTCTCAAAATCTTAAGGTCTGATTATGATGGACTACTTTCGTGATTGTAATTCAAAGATAAGTTTCTTGTCCTTCAGTTGAATTCTCCTAGGTATCGAAAATGTATGGTTTTAGAGTTTTTCAAGAATGTTCTTATATCTTACTCTGTTTGCATTATAATCATTGCTTTCATAATCCACAGATATGTCTGAAACCTTTTTGTGAGGGTCACACCAGTTAGAAGTAGGCAATATGAAGCCTGATGACATCACTCATGAATGTTGAGTTATGTATTAATGCTCCACTGCATGACAATGACAAAATATGCATCAATTTGACGCTAAAATGGTGCAATTTTAGGGTGTGTAAGAAAATAAATACAGCACACGAGCCTGTCATATACTGTTTATCTTACAACTTGTTTCAAATTCTAGTTCATTTTCGATCATAAGATACATATTGAAGCAACTAGGAAGATAGATGGCATCTGACACTCATGAGTGTAGTAACCTCTACACATCCAAAAACCTCTTTGTTGCCGTTCAGGGTTAATTGGAATTCGATAAAATATGTATCCTGTGGCCGTCACTTGCGTGGAACAAAACAGAACATACAACAGCATATTCCATGGTGACCCACATAATAATATCGATGGCGCCATTCGCCTGAGCAAGCAGTGGAACACGAGGGTAGAAACTGGGTCAGACCCTTGCTTTAAAAAGGCTTTCCTCTAGGAAACAAACACTCCACCACTCACCTGCAAAAACCCGGCCAGTATCAAGATCCATAGGAATGAAAACAGACTGAAATACAAGAAACACAATTATCAATTGCTCATCTGACCAAATTCCACAGAAATCAAAGAAGTGTTTGCGAGGGGTTCAATACAGACCATAAATTTAAAGTGAGTGAGTTGGGTTTAACGCCGCTTTCAACAGTATTGCAGTTATATCACAGCGTGTCAGCTTAATGTAGGAGGAAAGTCAGAAGTGATGCAGGTCTCAGACGTTTACCACTTCGGTGAAACCCATGAGCACAGGTATGGTGCTGACAAACCTAGAAACATAATCGGGGCGAACCGGGATTCGAACCCATAATCATAGGTTTCTGGCATGCCCAAGGGACGCAACTCTGCACAGCGAATCGCGGCACCTTAGATGACTGGGCCACCCGGGCCACCCATGCCCCCCATAAATTTAAACCATTGTAAACATCATATTAAGTTTATAGACATGGAGTCACGTTTCCACTGATCCCAGGAACTCACCTTGCTCCCCAAGCACTGAAGTCCCGTTTGCTCTGAAGTGTGTACAAGGTCAAGGCCACAAAGACACCCAAGGTCAACACAAAGGCTTCAATTACAGAGGTGACTGTATAAAATGTGACTGGAAGGAGAAAATCAAGCTAATTAACTAATGTTTTTCATCATGTAGCTTAAACATTTGAAACAAAAGTTTTGCATTGTTCAGTAAATTAGTGAACTATATGTAGAGTCAACTACCATCATTTCAAAGACTGACTGACTGACTGAGTATGGTTTTACGCCGCTTTTAGCAACATTCCAGCAATATCACGGCGGGGGACACCAGAAATGGGCTTCACACATTGTACCCATGCCGTGAATCGAACCCGGGTCTTCGGCGTGACGAGCAAACGCTTTAACCACTAGGCTACCCGACCGCCCCTCATTTCAAAGACAAACAGCTTAGTCAATAGCTATTTCAGTGTTGCTAGGCTACATGTTTGTATATTCTCATGTTTCAGTGGGATTTCCATGTGGATTCTTAACTACTATATAACCAAGATAAGAATATAGCCTGACCCCCCAATCCTGTCAGTTGCCTCTTACGACAAGCGTAGTCGCCTTTTACGGCAAGCATGGGTTGCTGAAGACAAACTGATCTTAAAATGAAGCTATCAGTAACATACCAATCACTCCAATTGTGTATGCCTCCATCAGAGTCTGAAACAAGGACCAACAGATATCACAAACAGCATACACTAGTTGGATAAAATTAAATAACATCATAAACAGAAGTCTCAAACAATTAGGAGTCGTGTCTTTCGAACATCATGCAATCATCTTGTATTATCCATTCCCTGAAGAGAGAGTGAGTGAGTTAAAATTTAAAGCCACATCGGCAGTATTTCAGCCATACAGTGACTATCAAATGTCATACAAATGAAATACATATAAACTATAAAATCCTGTCAACAAAGGACAGTAAAATAACAAGAATATTGATCCACGCAATTGGGATACCATGACATGCATCAACCAAGTCAGCGATCCTGACCACCCAATCCCATTAGTCGCCTTACGACAAGCATAGTCGCCTTTTTTGGTAAGCATCGGTTGCTGAAGATCTATGAAGATCTTCACGGGTCTATCAATTATAAATAAAAAATAAAAATAAAAATAAAGAACAACGAATACTATATACAAGACACATCAATCCATTGCAGCCTGTGACAACATGTGATCAAACCTGAATATTCTTCAATGTCAATGTAGACTTACTTGCTTGTTCAAAAGGGAGGTGAGATGAAATGGGGCTTAACTATGTTCATCATTATTGCACTTATATACTGATGTGCATGCAAGAGTGTGTGTGTTTGTCTGCTTGAACAAATGCCGGTATTACAGGGCTAGCCCACTGAGATACCATGCTGCACTTTTAACATGAAAAGCCCACTCAGACAAAGAATACTGAATCCGGGGTGACCATAATGCCAGACGGTTAGAAGAAGTTGGTTGGCCTCTGTCACATAGCTTTTGTTTGTTTATTTGTTTGTTGTTTAACGCCGCACTCAGCAATATTCCAGCTGTATGGCGGCGGTCTGTAAATAATTGAGTCTGGACCAGACAATCCACTGATCGATATCATGAGCATTAATCCATGCAGTTGGGATCGATGACATGCATCAACCAAGTCAGCGAGTCTGACCAACCGATCCCTTTAGTCGCCTTGTACGCCAAGCATAGTCGCCTTTTAACTGCAAGCATGGGTTGCTGAAGACCTATTCCATCCCGGATCTTCACGGGTAGGTTAGAACAAGTACTATCTTTTTAACGTCTTTTGGTATGACACAACCAAGGATTGAACAATAGACCTTCTGCTCTCCTGGCAGAAGGTCTATCCAATACACCAAGGAGGTGTTCACTTGTTCAAATATTCTACTTGTATAAAGATGCACTGAGCAGTAATCTAGCATGAAAAAGTTAAACCTGGACCAGACTAACCAGTGACTGATATCATGAGCAACGTCCCACACCACTGAGGTATGATGACATGCAATCAACCAAGTCACCGAGTCAATATAGTCACCTCTCACAACAACCATAGGTTGCTGTGGACCTATTCTAACCTGAAATCACCACGGGGAAGAATGAAACATTCCAAATTCATATGTCTCTGTTAATAATAGAAAACAAGCATGAAATACTCATATCCCCTGCCAATATGACGTGTCCGGTTTCGTGGAGCACTACCATCATTTTCAGTCTTAGTCAAAGTTGTTGCCATGGAAACCCCAAAAACTTTTTAAAAATCCCTAACTATCAAAAGGCACCAGTTCATCACTAGACCTATCTATGTTTCAAGATTGGTTAAGATATCTCTCATGTTTTTCTAAGTTCTGCTCTGGAAACAAACGTGACAGACTGATAGGGAAGGACGGACAGACAGCACCCATTCTTATATCCCCCTTCCACTTTGTGACAGGGAATAATAAATTATGTGTAGGATGATATAGTGGGATGAATGATTGTCCAATGTTCGCAACTGTAGACAAGATAACTCACAAACACGCCCAGCAGGATGTAGTTAGTTGGTGTCTCATGTCTTTTCCACATCAATGCAAATATCACGATGAATGTTCCAAACAGTGAGATGGTCATCATCCACTGACTGAAAAAGGAAATATTCAAAAATACAGCACTTGAAAAATTAAATTTAAGCCAGTTAAGTTGCTTCATCACAAATAAAGAAATTAATTTCATGTAAGATCAGTCAGTCTTTTGTAGGGCTTGGTTGAGTCCAAATTTACTACCCGGGTACCCACCCCCATATTATCCGACCCTTCCCGGGTACTTGCTGTAGGTCTAAAGATATAGGTACAAAACGTCCAATTGGGAATAGTTTGACCACAGTCACGGAAAAGATAGATTTAGATGTACACGTATAAATTAAAAGATCTGGTTGCCATTGTACAAAGCAATCTTAGCGCTAAGGTGTTTGTAACTCCCTAGACTTACAACAGTCATAGCGTTAAGGTTGTTTTGTACAACGGCACCCTGGTCATGCATACACTGAAGTTGACAGAACTTTATTTTTATTCAGACAAAGTCAGAAGGAATGGGAACATTCGTGACTTGTACTGTAACCATGGACTTCTAGATAATTTTTGTCATCCCTAGTTGTTTGTGAGTGAGTTGGGTTTAACACTACTTTCAACAGTATTCCGGTTATTGTGAGTGAGTGAGTATGGTTTTACGCCGCTTTTAGCAATATTCCAGCAATATCACGGCGGGGACACCAGAAATGGGCTTCACATATTGTACCTATGTCGGGAATCGAACCCGGGTCTTCTGCGTGACAAGCGAACGCTTTAACCACTAGGCTACCCGACCGCCCCTATTCCAGTTATATCACAGCGTGTCAGCTTAATGAAGCAAGAATTCCTGGAATGATGCAGGTTCGAGATGTTTACCACTTTGGTGAAACCCAAGAGCATGGGTATGGTGCTGAGAAACCCAGAAACGACTGCGCCACCCGTGCCCCCAGTCGTTACATAAAATGTTACATACGTGTCCTTAAATAATAAGGTCATAGTACACCTATTTTGTCAAAGAATCCACATAACCTTTGTATTTTAATTTGACATCATACACAATGATTGGACATAATCACATTGTCATGTTGAGATATGATGTAGAGTTATGGCTTCTCCAGATGGAGGGGACTCTACTCTACTCACTTCTTGTGGACAAACTGCTGGACTCCTTCATTGCTCATGAACAGTGCTGAGACGAGGACTGTCAGCAGGATCTGAGTGGTCAAGATCCCATACACCTTCCGCAGAAACCCTGAAACAATTTATTTTGTTGAAATGCTTCCAGCTCATAACTGTAAATATTTATTCAAGTACGGTATGAAGAGAAATGTTTTCAATATGTTTACTATATCATGCTATATATACATATATATTTATCATCCAAAACTGGCTCCCACAGGAGATATGGCTTGGATGAGATCAAGCGATATCTACAGCTGGAAGAATGATGTTGGATGATAAATTTAATCTCACCCTTGTGTCTTTTGATATCAAATATATTAACAAATGTTTCCACTTTTATCAACTTGTGTTGTTATATTTGATATCAAAAGACACTCGGGTGAGATTCTCTATATATAGAGACACATACACAAAAATAAATTTCTACAAATTGGACATGTTGAAAACTCTGTTGTCAAATGATTGTGTTATGCCACACTCAGTAATACTAAAGCTATATGACACTGGCCTGTAAATAATAGTGTTTGGTCCAGACACACCAGTGATTGATTATACAATCAGATCCATGCCCAGGGTTTTACGTGATGCAGAAATGTGCGTCCAGTACACACAAATGTATGGAATGGACCGGACGCAGAAAAAAACATAGACTGGTACTGCATCCTGTGTGATGCACAATATTATTCATTGTACCAAATTCTTGACAAGTAACATAAAGTTCCTGTGATCATGGTAATTCAGGTAATAATTAACTCTTACAGTACAGTACATTATTTCATTACTTTACAGGAACCTCATATTTCCTGTAAGGACCCTTGAAATTAGTAATTGGGGGTCCTCTGGAGCACTAGTTTGGGTGGTCAAGGTAAAACCCTGCATGTCATTGGGGCATGATGACACACAATCAACAAAGTCACTGAGCCTGACAACTCAATCCATTTAGTCACCTCTCACAACCAGCATACATCGCTGGAGACCTGTTTTAACCCGGAATCACCACAAGGTCGCAAACTCTCTGATATTCCCCATGAGCTAGTGCATTTCAAATATTTGTGAACGGCTGGAGTAAGGACAGAGGAATCTTTCAAAGGTCACAATCATCAACAGTTATTTCAAATTCCAAATTACCAACAATTAGAAAACAAGTTAGTTTCCTCTTTGTCTGTACTTCATCATTGTTGAGAATACTGAGCATGGAAAGTATCATGGTTGGAAATTGAAACTACTTGTATCACAGTGGGTGCAGTGTTAGAAATCCAATTGGACCCTAGGGTCCTAGAGCCCTTTGGAGTGTACATGTATCATTTAAATAGAGGGGCCTCTTCAGGTCTCCGTTTTCAACAATTGCTTTCTCAGTGACTTATTAACCCTTAATGTTGCAAACTAATACTGTGACATATGGCAACTGATCAAGTCGAAAGAAGTTAACTTCTGAAAGTTCTGTTTTGGAAGACTTGATGTTGTAAAGTGTTCTGATTATAGTAGGTATATATATGTTTATGTCATTTATTTGAAACTTACAAGTCAACTAACAGATGAAAATTATAGGGAAAGAACACTCCAACTCTCAGTCGTCCAGCCGGTGCCGTTTTCATCAGCCAGCATAATCACCAGATGACAATTAGCATCAGTGACCCAACAAACTGGACTTCTGACCAGCGAGGGGCAATTGTAGGACTTTGTTGACCCTTGAATCCTTGCATTTTATTGAATAAACCAATATCTGAGCATGAAGTGCCTATGTAAAACAACATACTTTGTTCAAAGAATTAGCCGATAATACGTTGCTTGATTGCTCATTATTATCTTACGCAATGGATTTTTTAAAGAACCATGGACATCATAAACATAGTTGTCCCTTTGGCTGTTACGAATCACTCGCGTATTCAGGGAATCCAACTGTATCCATTCATGAATTGAATTCGTTATTCGTGGCCGCTAGAATCAAATATTTATGAACATGCAATCAAGTGCATTTACATAAAAATATCCATAAGAACATATTATATGCATAGATTTCTTCAAAAGACAACACTCTTATACTATTTAACTTGACAGTTTTGTGGTCACTGGGCTTTGTTGCATTTGAGCAGAAACCAGCACCTGGATAAGTGTAGTATATAAACTTATAATATATTAATAATTAACAAACCATATCAAATATTTTGTTGTTATTGTTTCACTGAACATAACAAACAATACATCAACTGCTGACTTGTTATTGTATTCGTGAATTAATATTCGTATTCGTTTCCCAATATTTGTAATACGAATTGTATTCACCTCATAGTGTATTCATTGCAGCCCTAGTTGTCACATGTGCTATGTCAGCTGACCAATGAGACTTACGAGTTATAATATCCCGAAACTATATATATATATATATTGTAAAACATTAGTTTGTTAGAAAGACACAGGGCATTGAACAAGTTTCCTTGTACAGTTTCAGATATATGGGATATTGTTCCTTTATGTGGCTATTGACTGATACATTCATCGAACAAGGTAAGTGCCTCATCTGCTCATATCACACAACTTTTGTCGGTTGTAATTACAATAATTTACAATGTTTTCATGCACTTGTTGTAGCAAGAACTGATAAAATTGTTCCATACGGCACTAGCAATCAGTTCTTCCTAAGTGCTACACTTATGGTTATTTATATTTGAAATATATATAGTAAAAACTGCAACTAAAATAAATTGATACTAGTATTGGAATATATTATTTCTGATACAATGATAGTTTCAGATAAGATTCATTCATCCATTGCATCAAAATTCTTTGCAGTTATATTATTGGGTATTTTTTAACCAAATCACTGGTAGATTTGTAGAATATGTGTGTACTGTTGATTGCTATTTCCGGCTTAGTTTACAAGAAAATACACATTGTAGTCTTTATTTCTGTATATAAAACGATGCCTAACAGAAAATACAATTGAAATAGTAAATCATCATGTCAAGTGATAACTTATCTTAAATTTCACAGTTTTGAAGAAAGACATTCTATGGATGAACAACTTCTTTATTACAATTAGTGCGACGTTTTGGTGTAGATCCTAACACCTTCATCAAGCAAGTGATGGATAGTGCTGAACAACATAGGTATATATACTTATTAACATCAATTTTTATACAGTAAATTGATTGATGGACCAAGAGAGCTGATTAAGATAATTGGAAGCCAGTGGATGACTAATGGGACAGGGTAAACAACCACGGAAGCTGATTGGGATGATTGGAAGCCAGTGAATTAGAAGCCAGTGAATTGTTTATTTGACACAGAGTCAGCAAGCAGACTGATAGAGATGATTAGGAGCCAGTGGATTAATTGGATGGACATAACACCTCGACCACAACATCCAGTGGAACAACATCAATATCCTGGCCAACAATCAGTCAGACTACAAAATCAGAAAACTCCTAGAAGCCATGTACATCAGGATCCAGCCAGCAATGAACAGAGATCAAGGCTACTACATCCTGCCTGCTAATCATCACCTAATTGCTAAATCCCCATGTCGATTATTTTCAGACCGCCTTCATATAGCTGGAATATCGCTGAGTGCGGTTTTAAACAACAAACGAACAAATCGATCTTCCAATAGGTGTCACTTTGCACAGTGCAGCTAGAACAGCACCAAACACAAGTCTAACCAGTCAGAGTTAGTGCAAAATTATAGTCCATAAAAAGCAAAGGCAACAATGCAGTTTACCGGGCACAGCCCGAGCTCTACCATCCGCTCAATTACCGCGCTATAGTGCCACCGCTGTCTCGTTATACCGTTACCGTGCCTCACGCTTTGGTGACTCTCGCTTCACGATCCAAGACCCGTTTTCGGTCTTAGGGAAACTTACACATCTTTACAATCAAACACCTGTGCTCGGTCTTAGGGAAACTTACACGTCTTTACGATCCAACACCCGTTTTTCGGTCTTAGGGAAACTTACACAACTTTCTGATCCAACACCCGTTTTTCGGTCTTAGGGAAACTTACACGTCTTTACGATCCAACACCCGTTTTCGGCCTTAGGGAAACTTACACGTCTTTACGATCCAAAACCCCTTTTCGATCATTAGGGTCAGCTGGCTTTGGGCAAGGGTTAGCCATTAATTCTTACATTTTCAAGTGTTAATCCAGTTATACCATTGGTCGGTCATGTTGACATAAACAATTGCGGGTGTGGTTTCAAGAAAAGATGAATGGGGTGCGGGCAGTGACGTCACACGCATGCGCAATTCATTGTTTACTGAATTACACATGCATGTCAATGGGGATTCTAATGACCTGTTAAACGAGCACTGATTACATGTGATGGCGCCTGTGGTCCAGTGGTAGAGCGTCAGCTAATTAACGCATTAATTAGCAGAGCCGGTGGGCCAGCGAAGCGCGTTCGAGCCCCCACAGCACTAATTGGATCTGAAAAAGTGCGCCCGGTAAAGTGCACTACTCCCAAAGCAAATTTAGAATCCGCGAAGAAAACGCCCATCCATATTTCAATAATTTCAAAATTGGGAGTGTTTATTCCCTTTTAGTCAAACGAGATCTGTGAAGCGTGACATGTTACAGTGACACATCACTGTCGCCACATAACGGATGAAACCAGAATAGGCCTATTGCACATATTCTGTCTGTTCCAAACCCGGAAACGTCTCGCCCTCCGACAAGCCTGACATTCGCCAGCTGGTGCAAGGATTGTTATCAGTAATTGGTATCTGGTTATCAGGTGTCATTCGATCGTTGTTGACAGAGGCAAAAATGAAATAGCATGTCCATATGGAATAATAAATTACAGTAAAGCCAAATACTCACCCATCCGTATATATACATGTGCACTGGCGACATTAGAACCATACATGAAGTCATCAACGATGGATTCTTTGCCTTGTTCCTTAGCATTAGGTTGACCAAACGTCGCCATTTTGTCGTTCACTGGTTCGTTCCAGAAGGCGAGATATAAGCCGAAATGAGATCTGTTGACATGAAAGACGAACTCGATATATTTAATATACAGCTGAACGAATGTAGATTTGAAATCCTGAAGCAGATTCGTTCTACGACGTGTTCGTCATGTAGCTACGTGGATTTTGACGCACACTCACCTGTTTTCTTTACAGGGACAGGGATTTTCCACACCGAAACAATGTCTAAAAATAGTAACATCTATGTCACGTGATTCTGGCCAATGAAACAAGTCCTTAGATCTCGGCGAAGGAATATTTCCTTTAAACTGGTTCTTATCTCTTTCCGCGCATAGTCAAACTGCGCAAATTACAGTGTGTGAAAAGAAGAGACGCAGCCTAGCTTAATGACTATTTCTACCTGTTGCCTTGGGTGATTGAACGTAAAACAATGCAGTGACCATATATATATCTACCGGCATATGGCCTCTAGTAAAACGCAACGTTACCAACAATACCTTGATCATCATACAGTCACATTTCGTTTATGTACAGCCCCAAGTCTCTCAGTCTATATGGTGGAAAATTCATTGATATGTTATATTCAACATCGGTAGCCTAAAATCATAATCTATATTTTTCTATAGATCTATTTCTCCTGGCAAATTCACGTAACAAACATTTAGATTTTTTTTCTTATGATGTGCTTGCAAAATATTGTTTTATATTTAAACAGGTTACATCTAAACAAGGATAGATAGTATTTGTTTGTGGCTTTACGTCACAGTATTCCAGCTATATGACGGTGGTCTGTATCCAGACAAACCAGTCATTGAGTCCAACCACCAATTTTACTGACAGTGATGCTAGATGCTACGGAAGCCTTTTAGGGCCATTCGTTGTTTTATTTTTTCCTTGAAACTCAAGAGGTTATGAAATTCAAGCTGCATAAGTTGAAATTTCAAGATTATGATCTTCAATATTTAAGAATTTACTCCAATATGGCTTTTGCGTTGAAATACATTGAAGTAAATTCTCATAAATAAGTCAACAATAATAAGGGTGGCCAAGTCGTCTAAGGCGCCGCGATTCGCTGTGCAGAGTTGTGTCCCTTGGGCACGCCAGAAACCTATGATTGTGGGTTCGAATACCGGTTCGCCCCGATTATGTTTCTAGGTTTGTCAGCACCATACCCGTGCTCGTGGGTTTCACCGAAGTGGTAAACGTCTGAGACCTGCATCACTTCGGGCTCTCCTCCCACATTAAGCTGACACGCCGCGACATAACTGGAATACTGTTAAAGTAACAATCACACAGACAACTTACTGGCGCTGTATAGAGCATAGACAGGGTTGCCCATCTACATTAAATACAGTAAATGACATTCCTGCGAAGTTTGGAAGACTATACACAATCAGCAATCGGACCAACATGCTGTTGATGTCCAAACTTTTCTTCAACGCCTGAAGAAACAGAGTCCGGAGGTGGTCACGCCCATTCCAAAAATTTACAACAAAGAAATTGCACGTAAGAATAGAACTCAGCAATCCAATAACATATGTTTATTTGCACAACGGAAACGTTTCTCAATTGTATGTATTATGAATCAATCACTAACTTGCAACATTTTGACTTACACATTTACTTTTGCTAACACAGGTTTGCGGACTGAGGGGTGGACAGGTGATTATCGTGAACTCATGTCCAAGATTCCTCCTCTGTATTCTGCCCAGTCGACATTATACTTTAGCCACAGAAGCTGGTACCACCACCCCCCACCAGTCGTGAAAACATCAACATTGAGGGTGAAGGCGCCAGACAACTACTGGGGAGAACGTTGCTCTCAAAGATGATGGAGACTGAGACATAATCATCATCCTAGCAACGAGAGACAACATTAGACCCCTCAGAGACGCAACCACCTAGTTTTATGCTGGAGTTTTCAGTCGTGTCCATCACTACACCATTCATGCTTACCGTATTCGACGTAATAAGCGCCCCGCTCTAATAAGCGCCCACGGCGATATTTGCTAATATGTTGGCAAGTGAACAATCCCAATTAGCACCCCTTCCGATTGATCAATGTACACAAGACATATTTATTCGTGTATAATACGCACTCGTGTGTTATATGCACCCTTAATTATGGGCAATTAAACAGTATATAAACAGTTCAGGCCGTCAGCATAAACCACGAAATTTATCTTTCAACTCTGTTTTTTTCCACCAAAATAATATTCTACTAAACCCCCTATTTCTAATTTTGAGAGCGGCCTGGGCGCTTATTACGTCGAATACGGTAGGTTGATGGCGTTGTGTTCCCATTTTTGTATAGTCCTTCCCGTGACAAGCGTGAGACCACTTACAACCGATGTATCAAAGCTGTGATAGACTCCTACACGATTCGCCTGTGGTTTTCTTGGCCTTCGAGACTGCTGCATGAAAAGGTGTGAGATCTGTGTTCCCTGTGGTAGCAGATGGTTGGTTTGAGGCTCCCGACAATGGTCCACACACACTGACTGTTCAATGACGATGTGACTGGGCAATGGGTGGAAGGTGGAGGGCCCAGAACCACCAACCATGTTGAGGGGTGGCTCAGCAAATTAAACACGGTTGTCGGACCCCCCCCCCCCCCCAAACATTTACAAGCTGTTAACTGTACTGAAAAAAGAGAACAAGGTATGGCAGAAGTACGTATTTTGCAGCTGAACCAAAATGGCATCACAAGACCACAGAAAAGGAAAGTCATTGAGCTCGGAGACAAAAGATGAGCACCCTAGTAAAGTTAAATTTACAGGGGGACAATGAGACCTGATGTCGTATGTAGATGCAGTGTCACATCTTGTTCACTAGGAGAAGTATTTCCTGTGTCAGGGACAATTTAACTAAAAAGTGGTTCTTGTAAATTATATGAGATGGAAGCTGTCATTATAAACTAGTGTCCAAAAGAAACGATACCAACTTATTTTCAAAATTGTTTTTTACTAAGTGAATTGTCTAGTATGAAAACATGCCAATTCGTATTGCACATCCCAAACACAGCATAGTCGATTAAAAAAAACGGGAACACGTGATCACTTCCGGGAAAAAACGTTAATTTCGTGAAAGTGACATTTCCCTCTCTAGCATGTTCTGCACGTGCATAAAAACTGTATAAAACGGCTGATCAGACACGTTGATATCACAGGAACAACAAAAACACAAGATATGCCACGTTTGACAGCCATCGAGAGAGAGAGAGAGCCGTTGGAATGGTCCAACAAGGAGCGTCACACGTCGACGTCGCCAGAAGGTTGGGCTGCGCACGCATCACTATCACCAGGTTGATGCAGCGGTTACGTCAGACAGGTCAGACGTCAGACAGGCCCAGGAGTGGAAGACCACGAGTAACCACGCCCCGTGAAGATCGTTACATCCGGGTAATACACCTGAGGAACCGCACCGTAACAGCGACGTCCACGGCGGCTACAGCACTGGGACACAGGATCAGTCGACAGACCGTCTACAGGAGACTACGGCAGTATGGTATCCGGCCACGTCATCCCTACCGCGGACCGCTCCTGACGCCTCGACACCGGAACAACAGACTGATCTGGGCCAGGCGAGTTCGACGTTGGCAACGGCGGGACTGGGCACGTGTTATGTTCTCTGATGAGAGCAGATTCCTCATCTTCAGAAACGATGGACGGCAGCTTGTATACCGACGATTTGGTGAACGTTTGGCGCCTAACTGTATCCAACAGGTCCGGCCGTTTGGAGGTTGAGGGTTAATGGTTTGGGGTGGCATATGTGGTGACGTCAAAACGATGCTTGTCGTAATTCGTGGAAACCTGAATGCACAGCGTTATCTTGATGACATCCTACGGCCTGTTGTGGTGCCCTTTTTTCAGCAACAGCCTCGTGGACTCCTTTTCCAACATGACAATGCAAGGCCACACACAGCAAGATTGACACAGAACTTCCTTGCCAACGCCAACGTACAGGTTTTGCCATGGTCCGCATGTTCACCGGACATGAATCCCATCGAGCACTTATGGGACCACCTCGATCGGCAAATCCGACGTCGCCGTGTGCCTCCAGTCAACGTCCAGGACTTGGAACGATGTCTCCTCGAGGAATGGCAACGCATCACTCCCAACGTCATCAGACGTTTGACGTCATCAGTCCGTAGGCGTGTTCTGGCATGTATTGATGCTCACGGTGGACATACCCGCTACTGACTTGACTTTGAGACGTGTGGTGTGACATTTCCCGTTGTTTCTGTGATCAGTGCTCTAACGAAATGTTCATTTTTCGACCCCACCCATCTTTAAAGGCTTGTCATATTGGTTGTACAGATTTTATTGAAATAAATTTTTTGTACAGATGTTGTGAATGGATTTCTCAAAAGCATAACACCAATCCTAAACTTCTGCATTGTTTAGTTTTTCTTTTATGTCGTTGCAAACAGGTGGTATCGTTTCTTTTGGACACTAGTTTATGTAAAATGTGTTCATGTAACCATTCAAAATAATCATGTGTGAACAAGTTGATTGGTATAAAATTTACGATGATATAAAATATAATTTCAAAATATCCCTTTGTATTTATACTCTTCCAAAAACAACAACCGCAAAACGGATATTTTTGGCCATAAAAGCAAAATTAGTGGACTAAGAGGTGCAAAATGAAGAGGTTTAATGTGTTATAGTGTCAGCACTATGAACGGTATTAAACTGCAGGGTTTTTGATTGCCTGGCATCTGCGTTAATCGAACAGTGACAGTTCAACAACATGCCAAGATTAACGGAAGTGCAAAGGAACAACGTCATAGGCCGCTTGTGAGCAGGGGAATCCCGATCAGCTGTAGCTAGGGTTTTCAATGTAGCGCCCAGCACCATCACAAGGCTATGGGATCTGTTTCAACAGCATGGGTCAAACGTGATCGGCCAAGGTCGGGACGACCAAGAGTAACCACCCCTTCACAAGATCGCTACATCCGACTGCGCCATCTACGTGAAAGGACGACCACAGCCACCTCAGCCGCATCCCAAATACCCGGACTGCTCTCCGACCAGACCTACGAAACCGTTTAAGAGCAGCAGGTCTACGAGCAAGACGTCCTGTTCGACGCGTCATATTGAGTCGACAACACCATCAACAACGACTGCATTGGTGTCGTCAACTTAGGGTATGGCCTCAACTGCGATGGAGAGATGTCTGGTTCAGCGACGAATCACGATTTCTCCTCCGTCGAGGGGATGGAAGAGCACGGGTCTACAGACGACGGGGAGAACGTTACGCCGGAAACTGCGTACATGAAGTGAACAGGTTTTTTTGGGTAGCGTTATGA